AATGGTCCGAGGAGCCTAAAGGGGCGTCGACGGAAATCTGATATCCGTCCGGGTGAGAGGTCAGCAGAAGGTCCAACAGGGAAGGTGCATGATCCTCCACATCTGGAATCCGCGTAGGCGAAGTAACCAGTTGTGTCAGACCATATGCCAAGGCAAAATCATGAACAGATCTCCCCGCATGATCGGTTAAACGTGAACCAAGCCATTCGGCGTGATGGGCGTTAAAGTCGCCGAGGATCACGATCTCGGCGGCGGGGATCTGCTGTAGCAACGAATCTGCAGCCATTTGGACGTGGTCGAATAGTCGGTCTGTTTCGGCATTACCGCTATGGGACCTATAGAGGCACCCGTAGACGCGCGGATGGTCGTCGCTGTCTACGCGTAGCCAAAGGATGGACAGGTCCGAACCTTCAAGTCTGCCGAGGCGTCGAGAGCAGATGTCCTCTCTGACGTAAACGCAAACTCCAGCCCACAAAGGAGTGTTCCAGTTTGTACCCCGGGTAGGAGAGATACGAGACATCAGCCGGAGAGGACACCTGCGTCTCGGTCAGAAAGAGCAGAGCCGGCCTCGCCGTCTCGAGATGGTAGTGGCCGGCGTTTAGGTTAGAGTGAAGTCCCCTGATATTGCAGAAATTCACGGACAGCGTGGCAGGGGTCGCCTTGGTCTTGTTGCTCCGTTTGCCCCGAGCAGTTGTAGTCTTGAGCGGAATTTTGCCCCCCCCCCAGAATACGCGGGGCAGCCTGAGCACCCACGCTCAGAAGTGGAGAAACATGGTCGTGGATGCTCAGCGAGGGATTCTCCAGGGGTGCTGGTACCCTCCTGGGGTAGTCGATCATTATTTAGTTCCGCTACCATGTTGATGGGGGGGGGGGATTTGGGCCTCCGGCCACCTGCACTCACCAGACGAAACGCGGAAGCAGAGCTTCCACTTCACGCCGGTATTCTGTGAGGTCGTGGTACCACCCCGGTTTGAGCCGGCCCATAGGTGCAACAGCAAAGCTGCCGCGTGGCTCTACCACTGTTACATGTTCGGCCGAATATTCGGTTCGGTAAAAATTTAACCGAATATTCGGCCGAATATTCGTATTCAGTAAAATCCATATTCGGCCCATCCCTAGTTATTACTTTATTTTCAGATACTCCATATATTGATCATTTCTTGTTAGTAGAGTTGGTGCTTGGGGAATGTGGTGTGGAATTAGGTTGTGATTCTGAAATGAAAAAAAAATATTTTAAAATAATGGTTTGAGAGGTTTAATTGTACCCCATCTCTGTAGAGTAATGTATTATAAATTAAGGCGGAATATTTGAATAAGAAGTTTTAATCCATCACAAGCTATTTAAAAGGATGTTTAAGATTTATTGAAACATCTATATTCTCTACACTAAGAGATAACACATATGACGTCAATTTATGTAAATTTTTGCAATTAAAAACGATGGATTACCTTTTTACCACTTGAGTGTAAGGCACACATATTGCAAGTACCTTAAAACTGTCCTTTACATTAGATAATCCTAGAAAAATAAAATAATATTAAAAAGTCCGCCTTGAAAACTGAGTAAAAAATTGTTATTATTATTAATAGATACCACACAAAAATATTGAGGAGTTAATGAATCATATAACTGTAATAACTAAATAGTGATAAAGGTTAATTGTAAGTTGAGTCTCCAAAAGCAACACTTCACCACCAGTGACTGCTATCAATCCCTAGTCTAATATTGTTCAACAGGCCACAAATTGCTTTTTTTCTGTGCCCAAATTAAAAAAACATATCTACTTATAATATTCTTAAAAAACATTGTTATACTTACTTTAGCCTTACCTTGACCATTATTATTCATTTTGTTCCTCCTAATTAGCTAACAGATTGACGCCCATTTCCTCAGTTTCATATGATGCTTAATTGTGCTTGAAAATTGAACAGCAAGCCGTTTTATTGCGATAAAGAACTATTACAATTTCAAACTGCTTATAGTTAGTTACACCGAAATTGAAAGGTCTATTAGTAATTCACAACACACTTACTTAAAAGCACTTCACCTTTAAACTTATAAAGAGTTCTTCAAAAGTTTATCTTTATTTACATTGTTTCGTGATCGTGATAACATTTTTTTTTTCTGACAACAAAAAAACGAGTCCAATAATTATTTAAAACTCGCTAATACAGCGTTTTTTTTTTATAAGAATTGTGTGAAAAGATGTTATGTTTGAAGAATAAAACTATCTATTAAATATTTTTACTACTTAAAAGCTCGTTTATCAAAGTTACGAAGGGTTTATTATGACTTCACCGGTTTAACGATAAATAAAACATGCCCGTTGCTAAGAGTAACGCAACTAACTTCGTGTGTTACGACAAAATTTTTGGCCAATACGAGCGCAATTCCGATTTCAATCCAATGTCGACAAAATTTTTTTCAAGAGTACGGTAATTTGTCAACATTGAAATTAGATTGGACGAGGGGGACGGAGCGTTGAGTTCATTAGACGAGCCCTCTCCAACTTAACGTTTAGGTTCAATGTGCCTCTAAACATTCGGTTGGATTGAAATTGATACTGAATCGGAAATGCTATTGGAGTGGTTAAAGGGAATATTAATAAGTTAATAGCATTGCTACTATTTCTTATAAAAACAATTGTAGTGTTTCGTAGTGACAGACGATTATTTTTGTATACGTAAATTCCCCCTCCCCCCTCACAAAATAACAAACAGTTCTGTAGCGGGAAAAAACGCTATGGCTATTCCCCTCCGGTCCGCCGCGCCAGTGGAACGAGTTGCTCTATGGATTACTCTATAATCACCCTTTATGGCGGCTTAAATGAATCCATCACATCGTTACGTCCTGGAAATGTAACTGACCACAAGAACCGCTAGAAAAAATGTAATAGTTTTTGATATATGGGGTACGGTTTCCATCAGAGCAGAGATAGAATACACAGACTGGTTATGGGCAGCAACGTCAAAGGCGAGAGAAGTCTTGTTGCCATCGTTAATCTGCCTCCTTACTATGACAATTGTGACAAATCAAAGCTACCTTGGGAGAGGCCCACGTCTTACAGTAAGCTTTTACAGGCAGATGATGAAGAAGAATAAGAATACATAATTATTTCACATTTTTGTGTGAGAAAGTAATGCGACAAGCGTCCTTAGTCTGTAACCACTCCAAACTATAAATCCGCTTCTGCAAGTCGCGTTATTTATTGTCCCGGCAAAGTTCTAGGTGTTTCTATCTATTACAGTCTAACAAAGTCTATTGCTGAATATAAACCTCCCGATAGATTGCTTCATATGGTCAATTTTGCCATAGATGCCACGCTTGGCAGGCGGGTTGACAACCACAGTATTCCATAATTTTGAGATGTTGTCAAGAAGATGCTGAAACAGAAGATGGGCAGCATCTCCAGTTTCAGTTTTCCTCTGCAAATTTGGACTTGTGTATTTTTGTTTTGCATTTAGTGACCTCATTGTTCTTTGACATTGTTCTGTTCGCAATATGAAAACTTAAAATATTCCGTTATTTAGGAATACGAGTTGTGTTCCTAAATGACTGGATATTTGGCACCGTGGCAGCAGCGCTGCAAAAACAGCTCGAAGGATCAATGATGTGAAACTACTTCAAAAGCAAACACGGTACGTTTTTGGTTCCAACGTTTTCGTTCTGGACATTTTGTCCTACAGAACAAACCCTGTGGATGCTCGAAGACCCTAGTTGACAATGAAGAAATAAAAGTGATCGTGAAAGCGTATCCATCACAAACCACGTCAGAGTTGGAAAATTGAAAAATGAAAAAGCTCGGAAAACACGCGTTGAGTGCTGCATTACATTACTCAACCGTCACAATAACGTGGGGATTTTGAATCGTGTCGTTACTTGTGATGAAAAATAGTTCCTGTACGATAGTCAAAATGATTGAACCCAGGAGAACTTGTCAAATCCTGTTCCAAGTGAAAGTTGACTCAGAAAAAGATACTGATAAGTGTCCGGTGAAGTACTATCACCTGCTACAGCTTCTTAAGAACTGGTCAGACGATTATGGCTGTATTGTCAACAATTACAAACGACGACGGAAAAGCTAGCCGTTAAACAACCGAAACTAGTCAATTGCTCTAGCCCACTGCTGCTTCAGGACAATGCTAAAAATATACTGCACAACAGACAAACGCTACTCGTAAATTAAAAGACCCGGATTCTTCGAACCTTGCTCCAACAAATTACCACTTTTTTCCGGAATTTAGACAATTTCTTGCAAGGAAAATATTCTATTCCGATGAGGCACACAAAACGGCCTTCAAATTTTTTTAGTTTTTTTTTAATTATTAGGTTTTTCATAAAATTTTAACTTTTATGAAAAGTTTGATATTAAAACCAGCCAGACACGAACAGTACAACAAAAGCATTTTTCTTCAATTTTATACAAAAAAAAATACTAATCGAGGCTTTCCATCTTAGTCTTCAGGGGTAACAACGCATTTGCATTTTGATTCTTAATTGAGGATAAATGTGGATGTCTAACGGCCACAGTGTTCACTTACCATCAGGTGAACTGTAGTCACCTAATGCTATAAAAAAATTTTACACTGCCATATTTTATCGTGGAAAAATCAATTAGAATAATTAAAAATGTTCGTGATATAATTTGTGGGCTTAATTAATATCGATATAGATAAATATTGGAGCTAAGAAGTACGTCGCTTCACTATTGTAAAGATAAGACGGCATTTTTTTTTGTTTGTGTTTGCCTGTCAATAGTTGTGGAATAGGCGTGCTTATGTCAAAAATAAATAAAAATAACAGTTATTTTTAAAGTCTTTGAATGTTGACTATTGTGTGTGACTGAACATTGGCGCAAAAACTATGAATACATTATAAAAGCCTAGATAATTATAAAAATGTAAGCTCATTCACCAGGGAATCAGTTTTGTGCTTCGTTTGTTCTTTTTTTTTTTTTTTACACTTCACTTTAAAATAAATACGTAAAAGTAGTATTAACCTTATGGTAGAGCTTCCATTTAGTGTTGAGGAGATCGAGAGTAGAAAATGCGGTGCGCAATAACTCTATGTCATCAGTGAGTAATGCCTGCCCGAGCGCTGATAAAGCGCCGCGTAACTCGCTCGTCCGGCGGGCACTTTCAGTGCCTTCGCACTTATGGGGGAAGAAGTAGCGCCAACGATGCAATAAAACACTGCAAACATACAATAAATATAATTGATAATAGTTATTTGCACTGTATTCTAATTCAAAAATATCAAATAAAGAAACAAGGAGATAGCAGGAGGCAGTTTCTCATAGAATACTATAATACATACGTAATAGAACGGGGGAGTGGGTGGAGCCCGCGTAGCCACTAAAATGACACTAACATCACGTCATCACACGTATAAATGTCAACGCGCTGATGTGTTTTGACATTACAATTGTTTCCAAATTATTTAATAAATGCCAAATTGCACCCTATTTACAAATAAATATGCATTAAAATTGAAACGATTTTTTTTAAATGATGATCTTTAACATTAATCAAAAATCTAAAATGTGTAAATTTATTCAGACTGTCAACACAGCGAATCGGGTTTGGCGACGCCAAACCTCGTACAAATTAAGTTGACTGCAATTCTATTGTGTATTATAGTATTCTATGCAGTTTCTGAACTACTGCGAAGCGAGCTAGATCTATTTACCATTTTTAACAGGTTATGTTTTATCGCTGTTAAAAATTTAAAGGCGCTTTCATATTTTTTAGCCCTTATTAGACAGCCTATATCGATTTTATAGTTCGTGTAGTCGATTTATGTTGTTAAACGTCAATTTTTTCCTGCAAGTGGCACTACCTTTTAAAATAATGAACTTTCCTGTAAGTAACACTACCTGTTAAAATAATGAACTTTCCTGTAGGGGACACTAACTGTTAAAATAATATACGCTAAAGAATCATGTCCAGTTTTGACCTGAAAATTTTCTAACACGTCTAATGATGTAAAGTATCTTATAAAATTGCATTTTTTTTGCTTATTTCGTATCGCATAATTGAATTTATAAATAAAGCTAGGAAAAAAGTAATGTTACTATGTTTATCATTCTTAATACTTTTGAAGACGGAATGTGTTTTACAATGGCTCAAAGGCCCAGAAGTCATGCCAAAATAAATACAGGGTATCCCAGTAATGGTAGATAATCTAGTACGTACGTACCAGGGGGGTGGGGGGTGGCCTCGGTTTCCTAAAAAAAATCTATCGCGCTCTACGTCATGTTTCATAAAATTCCGAAAATTCGTACTTCTACTTACATATTTGGACATCACGTCCGCAGTTTAATGCCTAGCACGGATTTTTTTCTTTTAATATGTTGCCTAATAATGATGTTTCTTAATTACCCTTAAAGTTTTCAACTTCTAGGGGTGGTATTTTACAAGACGGCATTAAACATACGTTTTAATTTTTTACTTTCTTTAACTGCTAAGTTTGAGCACCTGTGCTGAAAAAAAAGTATGGGATCTGTATATAAAGCCAACCATATATAAAGTTTGACTACATCATGAGGATTCTAAAACAGTAGCATACCATGTACTTAATATCATTACTTACTGAGCTATAGCCGTTAATGTATAAAAGTAGACATTTCATTACAAAATTATTTACAGATAGTTTTTTTAACATTGCATGTATTAAGTAGGTAAGTACATCTGTCGCCCTTGAAAGTTTTACTTTAATACGTGCTCGCCTTGTTAGGACGAATTCTATGCTGTGTGAGACAAACGGTGCTTAGGATTAATGTGAGTAACAGGGTCGACAGATTCTCCATTGTATGGATTCCTAATTGGAATTCGTGTTTGGTTATTGTTTAATATGGTTGGTGCGTATCTCGACCTTCCCCACATCGCATGTACTCTATTATTTCGAACTCTTGGCTACAAAATACTATTTCGCATTTCACTGAACTCTTGATTTATGCATTTTGGATTTAGTTTGTTTGGTGATAATTGTGACAACTCGGCATTATACTGGACTCTGCGCTCACCATGCTAGTGCTTCACTCCTCGCACAGTGTCTGTCTCACCTGGCGAGCAGACGGTGCGCGGCGCGCGCGAGTGCGGGTGCGTGCGGGCCGGCGCGCGGCAGCACGTGCTGGTGCAGCAGCGCGAGCACGGCGCGCACACGTACGCCGCCACCACCCGCCTCCACGCCCAGGCGCACACACTCCACCAGGCGCTCCAAGCTCGCCTCGCTGTCGCCCCTGCATCACACACCATAAAAATTGTTGCTATTTTCATTACTTTTCATTGGTATTTTTTGTTTCAATAAGTTTTTTATTGTTCTTCTTCATCGGTCTTATTAAACATGGCAAAGTTTTATTTTCACAAATTCTCTCCATCGTTTCTATTATCAAGTACTTCAAAAGTACAAAAGTAAATTAAAGGCTTGGGTTTGAAATTAAGTCGCCTGAACTATTTTTATAGTACAGGGTGACAAACGAGCACACATTCCACCTGATGGTAAGTGGTTGCTGTGGCCCATAGACATCTAAATCTATCCTCGATTACGAATCAAAATGCAGATGCGTTGTCACCTGTGAGGACTAAGATGGAATGCCTCGTTTCCAGTAAAAGGGTCTCCGGTTCTCTACACTCACTATACGAAACACAGCAGCATTAAGCTACTATTTCACGCTGGTATTCTGTGCGAGCGTGGTCCTTCCCCGGTCGAGCCGACCCATTCGTGCTACAACTATACTACTAATATAACTGCAGCATGGCTCTACCACGTATAAAATTTAAGGATTCTGTCAGTGTGGGTGATCAAGGGGGTCTATCTGAAACACCCCCATGCAATTTTTGCTGCCGTAGTAGCGTCGAAGTATTTTTATTATTTTTTAAAAATATTGGTAAATCACTAACTAAACTTGAAATGTTTTTGACTTTTCATCTGGCAAAGTCATCTAAGATGCATAAAATGAATCGCTAGGCCGGCTATTTTGTTGACAGTGATAGATATACTGTACGTCATTCCGTTGTTTCTGAATTTACGTGAATGTGCTCCCTAACGTTTTTATCTGCTTCCACCTGTTTTTCGACGACTTAGCTACCTCTCTGGATACTGATCTGTGTTTATAATTTAAATTTATAATTATTACTTACGACTCAGACAGGTTAGATTAGAAGGAGAAGGGCAGAACTTCGTGGTTATTTTATCATAAACCACTCAGAAGTAGGAGCCCGCGAAGCGAAGCTCCGTCGACCGGGCTTCCCTTCACTGCGCTACGTTGAGTGGCGTGAGGCTTCCCTCCCCCAACTCTCTCCCCCCATTACTAACATTACGAAAACATAATCTCAAAATGAGATTTATAAAAATTTATAAAAAAAAACTAAGCATATCCGGCAGGGAGTGGGGGGCGACTCTACAACTCCCCCCACCTCCCTCCCCACCACCCCTCACACCCTAATTTAAGCGACTTAATTTCAAACCTTACCCAAATTAAATTCAAGTTAATGCGCGTATCATGAATTTTCAAAAAACGCGAAATACAAAAACTAAAAACTAAATATCACGTAAGACATTAAAAATAAAGGGTATTACTGATTTATTAGTAGCTCCCTTAGAATTATTTTCTACTTGCTTTGAACAACAACTAAGGTGTTAACGTAAAATTACATACTATTTACATACTATTTTTGTAAAATGAACTTAGAAACGAAATAGTTATATTACAAAATAAAGTAGAAGTACGTACTAGTGTAATTTGTATCTGCCATGCAGATAGAGCAACACTGGTCACCGGCAGACCGGAAGGGAGTAACTATTTTTTTTAATTTGAACAGTTTTTTTCGATACAGAACTGTCTGCCATTTTTTGCGGGGGCCAATTTGCGTACACTAAAACAATCAACTGTCACTACGAAATTCACACATAACAATTAAAACAATAAGCTAACAATTTCACCCACACATACGCACGAACGTACGCAAGCACGTTACGTATTAACTTTGAATAGAAGTAAATAGCAATAACGTGATTAAAAATTACTTACATATGAAAGGTCGAATTTACAATAAAATATTTTTGTAAATTTGGCGTGACAGATCTCTTTTTGCAGCAAAACATTGAACAATTCGGCATTTTTGTAGGACATCGATTTATCTGCGGTAGGTACGAGATGTCTAGTAAGCAGTGCGGCTGCACCTAGTTGAATTGTATGCACAGGATCGCGTAGTCTTAGTTTGACAGAGGGGAGCACCTGCAAATGGCTACCCTCCTACGATCCGCCGGAGACCAATATTGTTCTATGACCATTTATGTTAATTAGTCATGTGGATACACTACTTTATTTTTGGATCGCAAAATATTGTTTTGTATGCGTTTGAATTGATTCACAAATCGAATCGCAAACGCTTGAATCCATCTCGTACAAATCGATTCAAAAATAACATTCAATAAAAATTATGTAACTTTATCTCTTATAGATAACACTTGCGACGAACATCTAACATTATCATCTGTTATTTTATAAATATAAAATACTACAAAATATTCTCAGACAATTTCTTTTATAAAACCAATAAATGGACAGGATTGAAAGGGGTAGGGTGAGTTAGTGTGGTAAAAGACAGAAATAAATATGACACTAAACTGGATCGGCAAATTTTGTTCTGCCCTTCTTTACTTAACGTTCCTCATTCGCGGCAGCTTAGCCAACACATTTAATTAATACGCATTAATGCAGTTTACTAGTTGTTTGCTCACTAATAACTCATCCGCGCTACCACTTAGTAAGTCACTTACTTCTGTGCTACTTCTAGAAAAACTTCAATCGCCGTGTACGTAAAGTTGCCCAATTGCTGCAACAGAGCAGTGAATAAGGCTAGGAAGAAATCAGTTATCTCGGGCTCCGCGGAGGCGTACGTCGAATCGCACAACATTCCAAGAGCCGTTTCTGCGGCTGATTGCATTCCTTCCGCTAGTATCTGCAAATGAATTACATAAATTACGTAATTAAATGTAGGTATGTAAGTTTTTCTATGTTTAACTTTTAGTCTAGAAGTGCAGAAATATTTTTCCAATAGGGTTTACACTCATTTTCAAATAATGTTTTAAACGAATCCAATATATATATATATATATATATATATATATATATATATATATATATATATATATATATATATATATATATATATATATATATACAATATGTAACGTAATTAACGCACACCCTCAGACACCCTAATTAGTATATTATGTTATAATCATAATACATACTCTGAATTTTTAGTTAAACATTTTTATGCACTGATTATCAAATTAGTTATACTAATTCCGGAAGAATTTTGTGGTCACAGTACAAATCCACGAACGCAAAGACTTTAACGTGCTTGAAATAAGGTTCATTTTTCTTTATTTTTATTGAAAGACAGAATTAGTAATAATACAAATAAAACTGCACTTTTAAAAGTCTTATTGCCTTAAGTTACGGTCCATTTCAGTTTGTTTTGACTGTGCAGATTTAGTGTGACTGTAATTTACGTAATTTTAATTTTTTTTTGGGATAAAAAATTACCTATATTAAAAATGATAGGAATCGATTCAGTAAACGATTCTGAACAAACTACTTTCCAAAAGTGCGTTAATTATGTTACATGTTGTATATATATATATATATATATATATATATATATATATATATATATATATATATAGTGCCAGTATTTGCCAGTGATGACTTACGGATCAGAGACGTGGTCCTTCACTGCTGGCCGTATGAGGACACTCAAGGTCGCTCAGCGAGCTATGGAGAGGGCTATGCTCGGAGTTTCTCTGCGTGATAGACTCAGAAATGAGGAAATCCGCAGTAAAACCAGAGTGACCGACATAGCCCAACGGATTAGTAAGCTGAAGTGGCAATGGGCCGGCCATATAGCTCGAAGAACCGATAACCGATGGGGAAGAAAGGTTCTCGAGTGGCAGCCTCGTACCGGTAGGCGTAGTGTAGGGCGACCCCCCACTAGATGGAGTGACGACCTGGTAAGATATGCAGGAAGTCGATGGATGCAGGTGGCTCAGGACCGTGCTTTGTGGCATTGCTTGGGGGTGGCCTATGTTCAGCAGTGGACTTGTGAAGAGCTGTAATGATGATGATGAATTATATATATATATATATATATATATATATATATATATATATATATATATATATATATTCTATATATATATATATATATATATATATATCGCTTTAAATTTGGGCGCGAAAATGCTAACTTGGTTAAAACTGGCAAGAAGAGGTCCGGATACACTGTCTATTACTATACTATACTTCTACGAATATCACTTTGATGTAAGTATGATTTATATTTAACTATCTATATTTATACAAAACAAAACATCATGAGGAGGTAGTTATTGCAAGTAAAATTTTGTAGTAGATTAGGTTATCTTAGATATAAAATGATTGCTAATAATGGTAAACACTATTAATATAGGATTGTAATAACTATGTATCATCAAAAGACACCATGACCTGGTATTGTGTTATTGTGTAAACAAAAGTTGGTAATAGGTGTTACGCAGCCCTAATCTAGGCAATCTGCAGCGTTCCATAAGTTTAGGAGAATCACGAGGCACCTCGTCAGCATAACGTGTGTACTGTGTTATATTACCTGGTTCTGATATTTTACTGTGTGAATTCATTCTAGATTCAAACTTCGAATTTGAGTCACCTCTTTTAGTTGTAATAATTAATTGTAATAATTATTGTAAATTAAATATATTTTAAATAAAAATTGCTTTTTTTTTGCAAGCTCTGGCTGGAGCTCACATAATTTAGGTACTAACATTGATGTTTTAACATTACTCAACTCAGAATAACAAAAATCGGGATTACATACAAACAATTTGGCACCACGAATGTATTTATCCTTGGTAGACTAGTACTTTACGAATCCGTCTCCCACAATCCCATTTCAATATAAAATAAAATTCAACAATCATAATGATAACTTAAAAATTTTGATATAAACACACAACACATTAGCTTGTTTGTTTACTATAATTGTGACGTCATGACGGACCCTAATATGGCGGATATCGTTTTGAAGAATTGAGTCACAGACTAAAAAATATTGTTTAAAGTGAATTGTAAAATTTATAATGCATGTTTGTGAATAGAAATGTTTGTTGTATAGTTTTTGCAAAACCTATCATAAATACGTATTTTTATTTTTTTACATGGTACAAAATTCCCTATTCTCTCATTTGTCAGTAACGTAAACTCACATATTACCGCTACCTCTACTACCGTTATCGTAGGTAAATCTTTGTTTCAGAGAGCACGAGGGATCTGTGACAGTAAAGACCTGGCTGCAAAGCTCCAACACGTCAAGCAAATTTCGCATGAGAACAAGCTTCGGGTCCCGCGCCTACGTCACAGTGAACGAGTGAAGCCGGCTACAGTCGAGCGTGTGCCTGCTGTACTGCCATATGTTAGAGGTGTCACAGAAAATGATGGCTACATCTTGAAGCATGCTTTCATTCAAACACACCTCAAGGCGCTGAAGATTAGTCAGTTTTTACCATCAGTCAAGTGTAATGTCCCTCTGTAAGATGCAGGAGTGTACAAGCTCGATTGTGAATGTGGTCTCTCCTACATAGGACAAACTAAAAGAACAATAAAAACCCGCGTGAAGAATTGACGCTCCGGGAAATCTGTAGTCTGTGAACACGTACAGGATCGCCCCGTCACTACACCTGATTTAATAAACCACAAATCCTCGCTAAAGAACACTGATTCCTCTCAAGGATGATTATCGAGGCTATTGAAAACAAACAACATCCTAATTTCAATAGGGATGATGGCTGGGTGCTACCATATGCTTGGGATCCTATAGTTAATAAAATTAAACTAAGATACTATAGTACTAAGTTCATACTGCGTAGATCGGAACAAAAACTAATAATTTTAATCTGGAGGTAGCCATGGTTAACCACGACATTGAGCCGTCGAACACGTCAGTCCCCCTCCCCCCTCCTTCCGTTACCATGGGTGCTGTAAAGTACTCGAAACGTCGGCAATATAAAATCAGTTAATATACGCAATAAAATCCGTAAAAATTAGTTTAATTTAAATGTGTAGTGATCGCGTAAATATAAGAAATCATTATAAAATACATTTACTTATATTAGGTTCTTAATCAGAATATGAAAACATTAATATACAACTTTTAAGTATTTTGCAACACTTGATTCTGATTTTATCATTAAATCTGTATAGAAGCTGTTTTTTTGCATGCTGTCACTTGCTTAATACAGCTCTAAGTGTTCTTATAGTATCACTCAAATTTTATTTCTGAACTATGGTATATGCAAACTGTCTTCTAAATCTTAATTTTATGGCGTAATTGTTCACTCCTATAAATTCAGTAGTTTTATTACTTCTGTCTATGAAGGTGATATAAAACTAAAACAAAATAACAACCATAGTACAATTTAAAGCTGTTTAAGTGATAGAATATCGCCATTTTACATCTGTTGCGTGTTTATATTGTGCTAATGAACGAAATTAATTTATTATCAATATGTTAAAAGATAAAGATTTGGCGGAGATAGAATTTCATGTTAAGTCTAAATAAAATTTATCCAACACTGTGCCTAAGCCAAGGTTTTTCACCTTTTATACCTATCGCTAAAGAGAATTATATATTATATTGAAAATACGAGTACTGCTATACCGCTTTAGTAATGAAAATATTCTATTATACAACTGTTTAAAAACCAATGGATGTATGATAGAATGCATTACATACATATTACAGCTACTAAGACTATAAGACCTTCAAAATACCGTTTTGGTTGTATAGCAAATTATCGCCATTTTAGGACCCATAAAAACAAAATTTAAAATATAATTTTAGCATTATTAGACATTATTTTTAGCTTATACCATTATATTAAGTTCGTCTTAAGATCAATGGGGCACCCATTGTGCCTCCATATCCATTAATTTATTTTTTATTCTAATTAATAAAACTGATATTTAATTACCGCATTCAGTAATTTGTTCTTATATTATTTGCTTATTTTGCGGGCGTAGCAATTTTTTGATGGAAAACATATAGTAAGTAAGTTGAACGTAAATCTACTATTGTACTATCAATTCACCAACTATCACCATTAAAACTCAAGTCCAATTCCAGTATAATATTAATATATTAAAATATATTTTTTTACTCTGATATTAAATGTCGCTATCAAAGTTTTTTTTGTTTTATATTCATTTGTAATTCCGTTCAAAACCCAATTTAGGACGCTTATCTTTAAAAGTTACTTATAAGACAATATCTGTAGTGTAATAGTTTCCTTGCACACCAAATAACAGCAATAATGCAGCTATTATACAGGCTCTTTTATGCTTATACAACTACTATACAGTGCTACTAATGCATAAAGCTGTATAATTTGTGCCTATTTTTTACTTATAAGAAGTGTATAAGCACTTACACAGCCTTATTACAGCCAGAAAATACAGCTTCTGGTATAAATACGAACTTCAATAGAGCTCGTATACAGCTTGCATGCTGCTTGGGTTCTGTCCTTAATATCTGTCACCTCACACTAACTACGAAACTGTTCCACCCCTCACTATATTATTTAAATACGATAAGATAACTACTGACGACGGACCCATAAACATAAAACTGATTCCTTTGAGTTAGCCACCTCTACTACTTGCAGAACTGATAACGTAAAAAAAATTACTACCGCAAACTCTTAAAAATCTGCATATCTTTTCCATTAACATCAGGAGTATTGAATGTAATATTACATTGAATGTAATATTATTAATAGCTTTCAAACTACTTGATAGGGCCGAGATAAAATGGAATTTTATAGTCTTAACTTAGTGTTGGCTTCTTAATCTCAAACCTATATCCAATCTAGATGATTTTAGCTTTTCCGCAAACTAGAAAACACATGACTCAAAACGAAGCTGTCGTTGTATATTATATAGTGAAAATATAGTAAAAAAATGAATATCCAAGTTGACGAGCTATCGGTTATTGACGCGAACTGTATCCTATTTTAGTTAAAACCCGAAACATGTATCATAGGTATTTACTGCTCTCACATTTATTCCAATAGAGACAACTTTATTACCTCTCTCGATATCCTGCTCTACAAACTTTCCGACTTAAAACCAATTATTATACGAGATATAAAAATAGATATTATGCCAAAATCTACTGACACAAGTGATAAAATTAAATTTTTTTTACAACCGACTTCAATATAAATAAAATGTATATAATCATCAATGTATTCGAAGTCAATTAAATACGCACTATTAAGGATAACTCAAAAACTACTGATCAGATCTTGATCAAATGTATATGGGACCAGACGATAAGCACCATATTTCAAATAAAAAAAAAACATTAAAATCGGTAAGGAAAAAAGTTCTGAGGCAACACACAAAAAACATACAGATGAATTGAGTATCTCCTCCCATTTGAAGTCGGTTAAAAAGGCATCATGAATACTTGAAATTACTATCTAGTCATAGTATTTTACCCGCCCACAATATACCAACTCATGGACGTACTTGCTTCGATAACATGATGATTAAAACCAAGTTGAGGTCACACTGTGACATCACCGAAACCTTAATTACTGATCATGATACAGTACAGCCCTTAGCATCTGTTTGAAGTCAGAGTTCAAAGAAAACTACCGAATCACAGTAAAGCGTCTAGATCGGGTGAGACTGCAAAATGACTTATTAAATGTGGACTTCTCTTCGGTATACCAAATGGATGACGTTGACAAGACCACGAACTTCTTCATGCAAGCTATCAACAAATGCATTTTGAACAACTCGTTATGCTAAAGTTGCGAAAAGGACGATAACCTACTGTTGTTACAAAAAAAAAACTCAACTAACATTGTGAACGAAATCACAATAAAGACGTCATGTCTTGTAAAGTAACGTCATACATATTACTGCTACAATAGGGATGTCATTTTTTTTTCTAGTGAATCAGAACATACGAGTATACTTACTCTCATATTTGGCATAGTATAAAGAGACCAAAGATGACCACTTGACATTTCTATTTCCACGCATGAATTACACGCAACAATATATTTGTCTCTTTTTGCCTTATTCGAAAATTAAATTAGAAAAAGCGCGACAAATATACTGATTCAATGTTTGTAGAATTGTATGTTCTCTCCATGCATACGTATATATGGAATTACTGTTAGAAGATAACCTACGATTCTAGGTCAATTGAATCAATATCTATTGAAAGATGTTGCGTGTAAATAGAAATGTCAAGTAACTATCTTTGGTCTTTTTATACCATGCTACGCCAATTATGAGAGTAAGTACTCTCGTATCTTCTAATTTACTGGAAAAATTACATTCCTATTGTAGTAGTATTATCTGTGACGTTTATTTTAATCTATAGTGATTACGTTCGCAATGTTAGCAACAATCGACATCGATATACACGCTTTTCTTTAGTAATTTAATTTTATTTCTTTATATGCCTAAAAATATTTAAAAAAATAGGACTAGAAATTTTATTACTCGAACGATCAAGTAAGTGCAACTGTAGAATATGGAGGAGCAGAGTTCCCCAATGTTTCCACTGAGTCACTGTGTATGTCTTTTGAAGACATTTTTTTCAAACAGAGGTACTTGATGACAGCTCTAATTTCGTTTTTCTCCATGTTGATGTTATCTCTTTGACAGTTCGTATTCAAATGAATGTATCTCCCGGAAATCGTGATCTATTTATATGATTTTTTAGGCTGACGTAGTGAGTATATAAGCTTATACTAGTTAATACTAGCTAATACTAGTTATATTTGAAATTATTCGATGAAAGTCATTTACAGCACTATTACAATTCGCCTATGTTGTCTAGATAATATCACTAAAACACTACACGTCTGTCGGTATGCACTTAGAGATGTTGTCTACCCGCCGGTTATAATTCAACTGCCCACTGCCAACTGTCATAAAGCGGGATGTATTTATACACCAGTAGTTACCACTCATTAGACGAACATAATATTACTAACACACTACATGGTACAGTACACGTCTGTCGGTGTATATTAGCAATAAGCCAATAAGTGTTATGCCAATAAGTGCCGTGTGTATTGTGCAGAATAAAGCGGTGTGTTGTATACCTAAACACCACTAATTTAACAAAATATTATGTCCTATTCTCCCGTAGGCTAAATCCTGTAGATGTATATATGTTTGTCTCTTTTTAGTGTCTCCATTTAATTTCATCGAGTTTTCAAATCACAGCGATTTAACGTTGCAATTTACGCGTATTCTATGTGTGTTGAATAAGCGTACAGGGCACTTTTATGCATTTCGGGATTATGAACGCGTGGTAACAAGTCGCAAGTCGGCCAGCCAGTATCCGCCACGACTTGAAACACAGCTTCCGTGTGTACTACCACTACTGCGGCACTTTTCATTGTGCAACCAAATGCCGACTGGCGACGACTCACTACGAGTGCACACGCGTGCTCAAATTATATACGCGTTGCTGCAGATACGGACGCGTAACCGATTGTGAATTAAAGTGTCCATAGAAAACCGTTAAATAAGGGTGGCGCCACTCACACACATAGCTACGGGCTAAATTTTAAAGAACGTGCCGAAAAATATTAGTGGGATAGACGACTTCTTCGAGGTTATATTTACTAAATAAAATTATTTTATATTTTAGAGCTACTGAGCAGTTTAGCAGCACACTTCAAACCGTCGACAATTGCTAAGTTCATTTCATTCCAGTAGCTACTCCAGCGCTGTTGTGGGGAGTTTTTGAACTGTTATTTACTGCTAACAGATGACCACTTTTTCAACTATTCTACTATGGGAGTTGGTACTCCTTACTTCTACATTGCATAGCTTAAAATTTTCACTTAAAAAAATACCCTTTTGGCTTGCGTGGGCGCTGCGGCAAAGGCGTGCAGCAGGGCGGTGAGCGGCGGCAGCGCGGCGGCGGGCCCGGCCGGCGGCAGCGCGCCCGCCCACGCGGCCAGCAGCGCGCGCGGTGCGTCACCCCCCGCGCCCGCGCCTGCACCCGCCGCGCACGACGCGCCGCGCGCCAGCACCAGCGCCAACAACGCTTCCCGAACCACGCCCGCCGTCTGCGCACAATTGTACAAACTAGTGCTCGCCTACTGGTCGGAATTCCACTGTGATTCATTTCATTTTTGGCTTCATATATCCCCCTCGTCTGTCCAAACGCCATATTCTGGCGTCGAGTGCTATCAAACTATTTGTAACATATATATGATATATATAACATACATATATATAACATATATATCTGCATGATTGATTTTGTCTAAATTTGATTTAATAAAGTTTTTTTTGTGAACCTCCTTATTTTTGTCCCGATGTTGAGTAGAGCTAAGTAAGGCCTTTCTGACCTTGTCATAAACCAAAAAAAAATGAATTTTTTTTTATAATTAAATATGCTTTGGACGTGCAAGTAAAACTATTAGTACTTGGAATAAAGGCTTTAATTTATAATTATTACACCTTTGCAGAAAATTGGCGAAAAACACTTTTCTTACTTTCATTTTCAAATTAGTATCACTTTCGAAGTAAACCTGTATTCAAGTTATACATAATCTGATAGCTTATTTAATAAAGTTTCCGTTGATATATATGATTTTAATATACCTTTTATACAAAATGTCTAGGAAATAGTCATTTTAATGAACAGCAGGAAGTAGTCTGGAAGTACTTCGGGAAGTGCTCGACAGATGCGCCATATTGGCCAAAATGACCCCGACATACGAGGGGATATAAAGCAAAATGTATTTCACGTTCAACCGTACATAAACCCTTTCCATGTCGCATGAATCACATATGAAAATTTCTATTGTTTAACTATTGTGTCGCACAGGGAACCTGTTAATATATAAAAAGAAATATCTAATATACAAAAAAATCTCTACTCTGTGTTTTACTACAAACTATTAACTATTTAATATTGACCCTAAAATACCTGAGAACATAGTACATACTACTTTGAGACATTGGCAGTATGAACATTTCTTAATTTAATATAATGAATTTGTAACACATACACACATCAACAGAATCTAGGGATATTATATATTTCATTAAATATCTAAAAATATTTAAAGAATTTTTTGGTACAGTAAATGAAAGAATGATAGGTAATTTTAAGGTCTTTAATAAAACTAAAAACATTTCGTAATTTCTTTGTTTCAACTTTTAAATATAATATTTTTTTAAACATCCGTCGACTTACGACGATGACATTTTTAACGACGCGTCGAATAGCATCATTTTATAACATGCCCACGGCTCGTAGCATTTCATCTCGACTCAAATAACGACGTTACATGACTCTTAAAGCTCACACGGCACGTTAAATTAAAAAAGAAAATCAATCTAATCTCTTTTCATTCTCTTTTTTTTTTTTTTTTTTTTTTTTTTTTATTTAAAAATTTTTTTTTTTTTAATATTATTTTTTTTTAATTTTTTTATAAATAGTTTTTTTGTGTTTTTTTTTTTTCTCTTTTTTAATTCGCAGGTACAGGCTTCTAATATTGTAGAGATGATTTATAGTAATCGTTACGCTTTGCAGACGAATTAGTGAACTTGCATATATGATGCCATACATGTAGACATAAATAAATTGGTTAAAACTGTCATCTGCTGCAGGTCAAAGGTATTTGGTTCGGTGACCTATAAGCAAAGGGTATTTCTGGTTCCCCCCCGAACGGGTTCCCGCCTTGTCGTGGCGGGGGGGCTTAGTAGCCGCGGTTTGGTCTCCCACGGTGAACAAAGAGAAACCCACGTGGCTGGCCCGAGGTGAAGAGCCGGCCCGAGGTGGCCACTCCGAGTGGGCTTGGCGAGCCCGCTTCGGATGTGTGCTGGTGGACTGCAGCGAGTGGGGTCTCCGCACCCTCTACCGCTGCAGCCGAGGTGGAGTCGCGGAGGAAGAGGAGTGTTGGTATGGCGATGCGCCACTCGCCCTATCCTCCGCGACTCAAACGGGGCCGCACCGTTGATGCGGTGGTGATGGGGCTGCGGGGGGAGAGGATTGTCGGTATTGCGTGGCGCCGCTCTCCTTATCCTCCGCAGCCGAATCTTGGGTGGCGGCGGAACCATAGACCAGATCCGCCGCTGGGGTCGGGAAGGCTAGTGCTTCTAAGTGCTCGTTTTTCCTGGCCCCATGGCCTTCGCGCATCGGACGCGGGGGCGTCTGTTGCGCAGATGTAATTGGAGGCCGTGAAGGAGGGCGTGCCATGTGTTCTGGTGCGTCTTACTTGGGAAGGAGAACGGGGAGGAATATTCCTCTCCCGAGAGGTGCTGCCATGGGGCGGCAGTCGCTGGTAGGGCCGCAGAAGTGTGCGAAAGCGTTCCCGTAGCCCTGCTAATATGCGACGAAGGTGGAACACCATGGGGTTTTAGTCGGTGCGAGCCCGACATAACCCGTGCTTGCCCCCGCGAGGCGGGTATGCGTAGGCATTTCCCCATGTAAAAAAAAAGGGTATTTCTGGTTTTTCACATAGTCACCTCTTACGACAACTACGAAACGAAATGAGGTGATATACTATCTTGCTCAACTACCATCGAATAAGCAAATTCAAACAAACCTTAGGTTCCAAGTAGTGCAGTGAACGTTGCGCATGGTTATACAGATCGCCGACCAATATTATTGGATCTGTAGAGAACTTTACGTTTTTAGACAAACTTAGCAAAAGATGTGCAGCCGCGTGGCAAAGTAATGGAGGCTCCTGAAAAGAAAATTCAAAAATTATATTTTGTTCTTTATATGATCGATGACTAACTATCATGAAAGAAAATTACTATTGAAGTTAGTAAATAATATGGTTTATAATGTAAGTTAGGCAAAAAATTCTTGATATATTATCTACACAGATACGTCCTGATGTTTTTTTTTTCTTAATTAGATTCTCACAAAAATAAAAACAGCCCATTTTGACATTAGTATATCAAGTAGCTCGACCGAAACAAACTCAAATCTGCCGCGATCGTCGTGGCATGGCAAGAAAACGCCAAAGAGGTTGAGTTTGATCCAGGAAAACAAAGTAATTGCGGTGTATACCGGCTTAAATATGCAGAATGTCAATACTCAAAAACAGTCATCCTAAGGGCAGGGCGGTGTAGTGGATTTGTTTGCGTATTTAGCGCCAGTACCTACATCAGAGCGTGAAGGAATAGCTCCGCCTGAGGAGATAACTAGACGACGTGGTATACCGAATAGCTACAAAAGCGCTATATCTCGCACAAACCAAAACTAGGTCTCGGGCTTGAAATGATCTACTGGAGGGATTAAACAAAGAAATCTTAGGGGCGTTATTACAGGATTATGCTATATAAACTGGTTTTGATGGAGAATCTCGATGAGGACCTGCTGAGAAGGGTGATCAGCACGCTTTTCACAGAAGACCGGTCGAGATCCCCATGCCACCCACCATCGTCATAGGAGTAGGTGGAAATATGAGATATGGATGACCGTAGCAAAGATGGCTGAGTGGTTAATCGCTCGAGGACTCGGAATAACGCACGGAGTTCCGACGAAATCTCGAGTCGTGTTCTTGTTCTGGAGTCTGGTTGCCCTGGGGGACCAGCTTAGGAATCTGTGTACCAGCTGCCTGCGGATTGCCAAGTTTCAAAACACATGGAAAAGGTTGATCCTATTGAAGAAGAAAGGCAGATTCACAGATTCTATCTGTGTACAATTCTAAATACCTTTTAAACAAGACTGGCAAATTGTTCCAGAGGATAGTTGTAAGTCGACTTAACAGACATTTGCTGCGAGTCGGTCCTGATTGGGCCGACAGCCCAAAAGCTTGGGTTCCCAAGAGATCGTTCCACTTTAGATGAGATTATGCACGTCCGCCCCCTGTCGGAACAAGCACTATCCCAGGGTAACGTGATCTCTCGATTCATCAATATATTCTTGATATCGACAACGCCACTTCGCAACCTCCCCCCCCCCCCCATACTGCTCTCCCCCCTATACCTACAAGGCGTTATCGGGGACAAATTGCGCGTCAGATACACATAATTTATATAAGGCAAGATGGTAGAAAAATCAGGAAGGAGGTCAAACGTGGAGTCCCGCAAGACTCAGTGTATGACTAGATCCGTGTCCTTCGCCAGAACGGTGGTAGTGGACCAGAAGGGGTGCTTGAGGTGGTTCAGAAACAACCATAACGGCGCTGTAGTATCTGCTTAAAGCGAAGTTGAAGCAATCTTGCCGTACTTTGAAGTCTGTATTTCATCGGCGGGTGAGAAGACTATCCTACATACTTACACAGATAATTACCGGCAAAGGTTGCTTATCTTATCTTACAACTTACGCAAAGCGATGGCGTACTGTTTCCACTGCGGTGAAAGGGACCAAGAATTTAATGTCCCATGCACTGTTGAGCGAGATCGGTTAGAACCTCATCTTATTAGCGATCGTGTCGGCGAAGCTGAACAGGAATTCGGCGTAAAAAGCCTAAGCTAACTTTTGTAAATACGTAATGGTCTAGAGATTGCTAGACGGGATTGGGAACGGATAGATCTTGATCGTAGCCGACGGGCATTTGTCGCGATCCTACACTTGTGTTGGTGCTCTTACCAGAAACAGGACCTCTGACGTTTCGGGTGCTCGGAGTGGGCGCCCCGAGCACCCCAGAATGACGATGCTGGTACTCCTTGTAAAATCTGCATCGTGTTTTAGGCGGTAAAAATCCAGCATATCCTTACCGTTGTGGAAAATATTCACGAGGATTTCTGACATTAATAAAGCTTAGTTAGTATATTATTATAGACTTCTAACAGTCATCAATGATTGTAAAGGATTAAAGACTTACGGCCATTTCATGGGGTATTAAGAAAGGCACAGCGGAGTTAAAAAGCCCTTCCATCGTTTGGATCGGCACGTTGCATTCAGTCGCATAGCAGCACCATGCACCCACACATGCAAACATTTCCGCATGCCTGTCAAATGATAATTAGCCATCATAGCACAGTGCTTCTGAAAAACAGTCGTGATAGAGTGGACACTTAAATTTACAAGGTTCTTAAATTAATACAAGAATGTGACAAAGTGAAATTCAAAAAGTTTTTAGTAAAATAATAATGCATATAATTGTTCAAGTATAATGTAAACCTTTTCAGAAATGAAAGGAACCTTGTGCCCAGGATTGGGATCTGGGACATATATACCTATATTGTAACTAAAGTACATAACATACTTAAATTGTCATAAAACGAACTAATACATTTATTATAAATCAAATCTGTTATTAACTTTAATTTGCCTCTTATATAAAAAAGCACTATAATTTTTGCTAGGTAATGTCGTTATATTATATAACAAAAAATAATTTATGCTAGAAAATATCATTATATTGTATAGAATAGAATAGAATAGAATATTGATTTATTTGCATAGAATGTAGGTAATTTACAAAAAGGGTGTTGACAGAGTACATAAAAGATCCGTACATTCTACCATTTTGGCATGCAAATATTAAATTAAAATTTATTTCTATACTACACTAGTAAATAATTATTAATAGATTTAATATGATAATTATGATTATAAATGGTTATTACATTATTATTATTAAAAGAATTGCGTTATTATTACTATTACATTATATCGATTTATGAATTAATATTGCAGGTAGCTTATTACATTATAAATTATTAATACTAACAGCTTATACAAAACAATTAATTTACTGAACGTTATTTTATATAGGTATCATCTAAAAAGTCCGATACTGAGTAATAGCACCTTTCCAATAACAAAGAAGTAAGACTCTTTTTAAATATTCTTATCGGTTGATTTTTTACAAAATTAGGAATTTTATTATAAATGACTGGTGCCATCCCCATAACACTTTTTTTTTAATAAAGCTGTTTGAAATCTTCCTGTGTACAACAAGTCTTTATATTGCGTTCTCGTAGGTACAGTTCGTACTCGAGTTTCATTTAAGGTGGGAAATAAATGATGATTAATTTTGACAAATAACGCTACCTCAAGAATATATAGACACGGAAAAGTTAATAATTTATGAGCTTTAAAAATGGGGACATAACTATCGGTAGTCTTTAAATTAAAGATTGCTCTTATACAGCGCTTTTGGGCTTTGAAAATGATTTCTCTATCGCCACAGTTGCCCCAAAATATAATACCATATCTTAAAATGGAAACCACCAGACCATGGTAAGCGACTAATACCGTTTTGATACTGACCTTTTTTATCAGGTTATAGAGTGCTTAAGCAGACACACTTAGTTTCTTACAGACATCATCTGCTTGGGCCTTCCTTGTCAATTGGCTATCTATTAAAATGCCTAAAAATTTTGCGACATCTACTCTTTCTATTGTTTGACTATTATAATTTACATTTAGATCTTCAGTGCGAAGTTTCTGGTAAAAGTGCATTATTTTAGTTTTTTGAATATTTATAAGTAAATTATTATAATTCAGCCAGTTAATTATAGTTTCAATCGTAGTGTTTATATCATTTTCATAAAAATCTTTATTTAGACAATTTATTAGAGCTGTACTGTCGTCGGCAAATAATTGGATGATGAATTTGACGTGGGAGGTCGTTTATATAAAGTAAAAATAACAATGGCAATGAATTTTATTTCTCTATAGGAAGACACATATTCGCATTCACGTTTAGATTTAATGCATGTTTTAGTAATCTCTGTACATTGTTTACGGCCAATCAGATATGTTTTTATTAAGTTGAGAATGTTACCTCGAATGCCGTATGCGTTAAGTTTCTGTAATAGTATTTCATTGTCTACATAATCAAAGGCTTTCGACATATCTGTATATATAGCACATATGGGGGTTCGGGTATCTAAATTAGTAATTACCATCTTTAATAAGCTAAAAACAGCCATATTTATGCTTCTGTTTTTTCGGAACCCATTTTGTTCATCGCAGAGTATGTTAAATTTAGCCAAAAATGCGTAAATGGATTCGTAAATAACTTTTTCCATTATTTTATAAAACACGGGTAGCAAAGCAATTGGTCGGTAGTTAGACATATCTTCTTTATTGTTCTTTTTATGAAGTGGTTTTACTATAACCGTTTTCAGCTTTTCGGGAAATATTCCCACTAATATGCTTACATTAACAATATGGCTAAGAGGTCCAGATATGCTATTGCAAACAGATTTAATAACTTGCGTTGAAATGCCATCATAACCAAATTTTTTTTATTTTTTAAAGTTTTTATTACTCGTATTATATCTTGTGGTACAATCGGTGATATAAATATCGAGTGTGGGTTATAATTAATTTTTTTGATGTCATCTGATACGTTTTTTGGTATATCTGTGATCTGGTCAATAAAAAAATTGTTGAATGATTCAGCTATTTCTTTAGGGTTCGTTATTAATAAATCATCTTTTTTTATCTGAGAAATAGGTTCCGTAATTGTTTTTATATTATTTATTATTTGCCACGATGTCTTGGATTTATTTCTGGAGTTTTGAATGAGATGGTTATTTTGAGCTTTCTGAGTCAATTCAATAATTTTTTGAATCTTCGAGAATATGTATAAAAATTGTTTTTATTTTCACATGTCGGTTTTAATCTCTTTTGCCACAATAAATGGCGCTGCCTTTTGCTACAAATCCGAATACCACGTGACACCCATTTAATTGATTTTTCAGAGCGTACTATAATCGACTTGAAAGGAAAGCATAAATTAAATAATAAAAGGAATAAGTCGATAAAATTATCATAAGCATTATTAGGGTCGTCAGTATTGTAAACGTCTGAAAATGATAATTGTTGGAGATATTTATTGAATTTATTTATATTATCGTTGGACGTATCTCTTATTGATTTTCGCCAAGATTTTATTTGTCTTAATTTATTAGCTTTTATTTTTAGAATCTGAGCTGTATGGTCTGATAAGGCTAAGTCTATTATTTGGCAATTGCACTTCTGTTTAAGGTTATGAGCAAAATTGTCTAAGCAGGTATTACTGTCTAATCTTGTAGGTTGGTTAATTTCCAATTTAAGGTTGTAGCTCAAAAGAAAGCATTCAAATTCTGTTGCTAATCTGTTCCTTTTCAGAATGTCTATATTAAAATCTCCACACATTATTACATTACTTTTTTTGTTATTACATAATTTCTTTAAAATAGTGTCTAATTTTTCGTAAAATTTGTCTATATTACATATTTTTGGAGGTCTATAAATACATAAAATTATCGTGTTTTGTTTTATTAATTTTATAGCACAACATTCAATAATTCCTGTTATAGAGTATTTCATGATGTCTGGTAATTCTGTGTACTCAAGACATTTTTTTATCAAGATGCAGGCTCCTCCTCTTTTTGCATTTCTTCTTGAATAGCATGTTGCTAGCTTGTAATTGGATATTTGAATTAATTTTTCATGGCCAGACATTATGAAATGCTCGGTAATACACAATACATCTATATCTATATGTTTGTTTAATAATTCCTGAATATGAACAGTTAATACATCAGATTTATTTAGAAAGCCAGCAATATTTTGGTGCATAATATACATATAATTACAATAGAAAAAAATTTGAATTTAAGTCTGTGGGGACAGTTTCCTTATTGACATTAATTTTAGTCTCTGGATATGTTTCTAGAGCTAAGTTAGGGTTACTTATCATTATTAGTAGGTTATGCATGATATTTATCAATCCATAGTTATTTAATCTCCCACTGTATTTAGAAAACATACTGTAATCGTAGGATAGATTAAGATTAGAATCTAATAGCTTTGCGTAGTTAAACGTGTTGAGATCTATGTACAACAAATTATTAAAAGTTTCTATCCTCCAGTTAAACATAGCGGAATAATTGTTACATTTGTATGTTGGAAGGCACAGGATAATATAGTATGCTGAATATTTTGTAGAGTATTCCTCATTTCTTTGATGATATCAAAGTAATTATTTGTTTTTCGAAAGTCTTCTTCTCCTATAAAAATTACGCAGTAGTCGTTTTTCGTATAGTTTACTATTTTTTTATTCAAATTGCTAATTAGATGTAAAATTCCACAATTCGGGGAAATGTAGTGGCATATCTCGGTATTCAAAAACGTATCCTCAGCAATAGATAATACCTTGTTTGTTTTATTGGCACTTATAATACATATTTTTTTCCTGATAGGTTTTAATTTGATGTTTGTTGAGTCGCTTAATTGGACTATATTATCTTGTTGTGTGATCGTAGGGTCAGTCATAGGTTTTTGACTTATAAGCGTACTAGGGGTTATGTTAAGCCTGTTCTGTGTCTTTTTGGTGGATCTGTTGAGTGGAGTGGATATTTTCAAACTTTTTTTAGGAGTATTCACATCATTTGTTAATTTTTTGGTGGCTTTTTTTAGAACTTCATGTTTCGATGCTAAATCCTGAACGGCTTTTTTTAGCTCGTGATTTTCTATGGACAAATTATTTATTTCTTCATGAGCTGAATTTAGTTGCAAGGTTAGGTGTTCTATGTGTTCTTTAAGTTTTTGAATTTTAATGTTATTTTCATCACCTGATAAGTTCGGTAAACTACATGTAGTGCCATCTAGTTTCGAATCATCCGAACTACTTTCACCACAAGTAAGATCTTCTGACATAGATTGAGTGCGTGTTTTTCGAAATGTAATGTTATCGAAGAAACTCATATTGCAATTTGAAATTAATAAGTTTAAAACTAAGAAAAAGAATAGTATTGACGAGATTCGATCGTGGTTCACGTAGATACACTCCGAGTTGGTAAAGCGCTGAGCTATTTGTACATTAGTATCATCGGCGAAAGTAGACTTCAGTTACCAGTGACTTACAATTTTTTAAATCGGATATGAAGTTAGTTTTCGTGAATAATTTTATATCGTCCGTTAACACTGGATTTAACCACAATTATTTAATACTTACAAATACATGACTTTTACTTCGCAGGAAAAGAAGAAAAAAGCCCTGAATTAACACAAAGTCGTCCCTTTTATAAACAGTATTTACACTTTTGTTACACAGTTTTTAACTTTATAATTAATCCATTTATACACACTATTACAATGTCACATAACATTTGAGTTCCTCTTTCACTAATAAACTTATTAGAACGCTTATTTACCTCTTATAACTATTTTTAAAATGAATTTAATACGGAGCTATTGTTGTTCGCGACGATCCGCGGGTACCCTCCCAAGTATGAGGCATATATAGAAAGATTTATTTGCCACCAATGCCGGTGATCACAACTTAAATCATTTATGCTCAAATACTCACACGTTGCTCAATTTTAAGATGCCGTTAAGTCCCGTGCTGTCTCTATCACTTTAAGTCAAGTGACATCTCCACGAGACTTAATTACACCTTAAAATTGAGTACCGTTCGAGTTTTCGTCCGTTAGCCTTTCAAAAACTCGATTAGGTTTGACAGCTTCTTAATAGTTGTAAAACGTGACAACTGGGTTAACCGATTGGAGATTTGTGGTATGTTCCGAAATACAACCCAATACAATGACAAATGGAAATGTCGTCATCAATTGACACTATATTGTACTGGCGTACCGCCGTCATATAGCGTCGGATATCCGGCCACAATAAAACAATTTTTAACTGTGTGTGCGCTGAATGAAGCATGCCAGAATTTGTTTTTATTTATTCAAATACAAAAAATTATAGAATAATTGCTGGTATCTCCATTAGGAATATATAATGATTTTTGGAGCACAAAATGACAAAATAATCGCCAACAATTTTTCAATATGGCGCAAATGTATGACGTCATATACTGTCCTATGTTTTGGAACGAATCACCAGTATAGCGTCGATTCATGACGTCATTTGCATTTAACAGTATATAGGGTGGGTTCTATTTTGGAAGTTTTTGTGAGTGAGTGGAGTTGAAGAACAGAAAGAACAGTTGAGAGTTGTACCAACACTGGGTTCTATTTTGGAACAAACTTAGTTAGGCATTAGAAATCGATAATTTCGGCACGGAACAGAAATAAGTGGCACATAAGGCAATTACGTACACTTGCACGAAGGCGTGCGCAAGCGCGTGCGAGTGCGCGTGCGCGCGGTGCGGGCGCGCGAGCGCGGCGCCGGCTAACGCGGCCGCCGCGCGCTCCAGCAGCGACGCGCCCGCCGCGCGCCGCTCGCCCTCCGCCTCTGCAACACACACCGTTCAATAGGAAACTTCGGAAAACTCGGAAAACACTTCATTCGTGTTCGTCAAAACTTTTTACGTCCATACCGAGGCTCCATTTTTGATTCAGGTTTAAGTGAGCATATGGAAGTTGGGTATTCATATTCTATCCTTTATATTACATATTCTATATTCATATTATATTAATCAGTGTTCAAGTGATTTCATATTCCCTTCCCTAATCCCACTGACGTCTTAGCTGTCATGTGCCTAATTGTTTTACATACTGCGCAGTGCCAAAATAAACGAATTAGCACGAATAAATTGTATTGTAATAAAAATTATACTTTCATGAAATATTTTTTTTTAAATCCGACATGTTTTTTTTTTATTTGATTTGTAGCTTTATCAAGCCGAGCACTGCATGTAACGTTAAATTTGGTTTAATTTAAATTTATAACTATGTATATAAATTAAAGTTAGCTGTTAGCCATGTAAAAACCTTAAATAGAGTCATAAATGTTGTTTATAAAGTAAGCGAAATTAATAATAAAATAAATAAATAAACGATTCCATTAGACATATAACCCAACATTTTATTTCCCACTTTGAAAAGAATTAAATGCAAAGAACTTATGAGTTTCTTTTTCATAGAGGATTAGAAGTTAATTGTATTATTGCTCTGTAGTGGCAGCGTAACACAGTTCATCACCCAATTCATCTTGTGAGTTGACACTCACACAGAAGAAAGGGAAATGCCACAAAAATACTATGGCATCTGATAAATTAATGTACCATTTCGCTTACGCCAATCACAAATACCCAAACTGGCCACAGGGAGTAGCGTCAAAGGTACAAGATTTGCAAGACAACAAATACCTTTAGCCTCTTTTTTTACTCATGTCCAGCATAGGACTTTTAGGATGATAATTATTATAAAATTCTGGTTTTCTAGTCAAAATATTGTAAAACAATTAGTCCGTATTTATATTTAATTATAATATATATAATATTGAATACAGGGTGGCCGACGTAAGAGGTAAAGAATTTTCTTTCCGCCATTTTGTTTAAGCGGCAAATTTGACAGTTTTTCAGTAACAACTATTTTGTGTAGCTCTACGGCACATTCGATATATAGCGTTTTTCGCTTGGGTAACGAATTCTTATTGTTAAAACGTTCTACTGAAATCAATCTTCTATTGCGGAAACGCTGAGGAAATTGCTACCAATCTTCGGTAGAAATCAGTTACCTTCGCGGCTAGCAATAACTCGTTTGGTGGATAATTTTGACCAGCATGGCATTGTAACAAATAAACTAATTCCTGAAAGTGTAGCCGAAGATCCGACATTGTCTACCAGACAACGTTCTCAATAACTGTAAATTAAGAGAACCTCTAAAGAGAGAGAGAGAGAATCTCTAAAGATTATTGTGAAAAAAGACCACGGTTTGTTCCTATATAAGGTTCAAATAACTCAAGAACTTGTGAACGGTGACTTTGAATGGCCGCCCAGATCACCGGATTTAACAACTTCTCACTTCTGCTGTGGGGTATTTAAAGGGTCGTACGTAACAAGACGATAAATCTTCTATACATAAAATAGAATACTCCAGACGCTGTCAGTGTTATAACACCGGAAGTGTGCGAAAATTTGATGAGAAACGCGATGCAAAGAGCTCTCATTTGTCATGACTAGAGGCGGACGTTTGACAGGTATTACATTCTATACGTAATTGCCAATCCTATGTAAAGTTTTCTTTTAAAATACCTTGTATTTTTTGATTATTAAAAGTAAATTTCATAAATTAAGTTGTATAATATCTTTTATCTGACCACCTTGTTATTAAGTGACAATAATTTGTTATATCCCATACAAAACGTTTCCCAAGGTTTGTATAATACATTAGATAATTATTACAATAGGTGTTTAAAATGATGCCTTAAAAAATTACAGATTGGAACAGCAGCCACTTAAGGTGATACCTCGAAAATTTGGTGGTTTTTCTATTTAACAATTTTTTTTAAAATTTTATAGATTACAAACCAAAATTTTGGTATATGATTTTTAACTATATGACCTTGGATTGCATAAAAGGAAAACACGATATAATGTAATTTTTTCGATAGAAAAAAATTGCAAAGTAGGCTCTAATTATTTACATTTCTCGATGACACCACTACATTCTTACGAATAAGTTCATAAAATTATTTTTAAGTAGTAAATAATCATATCTAAGTTCTCATAAACCAGTTTTTTAATCAATAACGAAGTTTTGTTAAAATAAATAAAAATGTTGTTTGGCGCTTACTTAGCTTTTTCTGAGCGTTTGCTCGGTATGGCTATCTCATAATTTGCGTACTATGAAGTCATTGCATCACTTTCATTTTGACACTCCCGCAATCGTCCGTTAGCTTCACCGACAAAGGAATAAGCCACGTCCCCAAAACTTCTATTCATTTTCAAGGTATCCACTTCAGAAGGTACTCACCAGAAAGCAAGGCGGGCGCCAGGCGCCCCAGTAGACGCGTGAGAGTTGCGAGGTCGAGCAGCGCGGCGAGCAGGCGCTCGTGCTCACCTCCCGCCGCTCCCCCCACACCCCCCATACCAGAACGCCCAGCCGCACGCGCGTACACACCCACCAGGCACTGCCATCGCTCCAGCTGACGGTAGTAAGCATCTTTGTTAATGCCTTCTCATCGTAACATTATAAGTTTTACAAATCTCGACAAATTCTCTAACTTTCGTTTTTTTTTATAGAATAAGGATGACGAACGAGCACATAGTCTACCTGATGGTAAATGTATGCTATGGCCCATAGACATTTATGCCAGTTAAGAATCAAAATGTAGATGCGTTGCGATGTGTAAGACGTGTTGCCTCCTTTCCACTACAAAGGGTCTCCGGTTCTCTACACTTACCACACGAAACACAGCAAGATAAAGCTGCTATTTTACACTACTATTCTATGGGAGCATGGTCCTTTCCCGGTCGAGTCCAACCATTCGTATAACATAGTGTCAAGTATAATATCGGTACAAGATTCACAAACTACAGTTGAAATCAAGGTTCGGGGATGTTTAGGGACTTTGGAGACTTTTTTTAAATAAAATTGGAATTGAGTATGTCGGTGCGTCTATAAAATGGCGGTTGGATCAATAGTGAGCAAGACGTTGTGTCACTCTAACGGAGTGTCATATCGATAGTGGCGGGGTAGAGTTGAGGGTAGATGGGGAAACCTCCACTTGTTGATGCAGTATAAAGTTTAGTGTCGGTGCCGAGCGCGAGGGATTCCGCTGAAGTATTCTACGAGTGCTAAGATAGTGTCCTGGTTCTGTCCATTGCGGTTATTCTTCTGGTGCAGGATGGCACTGTTGAGAGGTGGCCCTGTGTTACGATGAGCTGAGATGGCAGGTGATGCTGTCGGTTTGCATACTTTGGTGTTATCAAGTGATTATGTCCTTCACGTTACACCTGTGTGTAATTGTGACGTATACATACCTATCACGGTATGGTCGAACTGGAATTTCTTTAACCTTTAATTTTTTTCTTGTAATGTCTTAATATTGATAATGATTGCGTAAGCAAGAGAGAGAAAGCGAGCAACAGAGCCGTAGTAGCTCAAATGGTTAACGCTCACTGTTGCAATTTTAAGTGCTGATTTACCACGTGCTCGGCGGTGAAGGAAAACATCGTGAGGAAACCTGCATGTCTGAGGAATAAGAAAAAAAAATATTTCGAAGACATGTGAAGTTCGAGTTCCTTGGCCTAAAACCTTCTCAGAAATGAGGGGATGCCTGTGCCCAGCAGTGGGACGTATATAGGCTGTAACTTTACTTTTTTTTTAACTTTAAGCAAGAGAGTGAGTTTAACATGGGCTCTTACAATTTTACCATTTTTAAAAATTAACACTATCCTGATGTATTTCTGAGATCAGAATTGGGATCTCCTGCTGTATTTCTTATATCAGTTTTGGCCTTTGACTGTTATGCAATTCCTATAAGTACATTTTTTTATTCGACTTTATTTATACCTTATACGAGATATAAGATTATTTCTAATATTCCAAACAATAAAGTCTCCGTTCTTATGGGAATCATACACGTTTCTCATAAGCACATCCTTCTTCACGATAGTAAAATCTTCAAATTAAAAGACAGAAATCATACAAGTATCAATTATCATCATGCAGTTTGTAGTTATTCTTGTAACCAGTCTGGCCAAAATAAATGTTACAACTGTAATAGTTCTTTATTTTTTTCTCTTAACAAATTTTGATCAGAAATAATGAAAAATAGTTTCGATCGTTTTCATACATTATAGAATGAGGCGTTAAAGAAAACAAAATTCGTCAGTTATTTTTGGACGCATCAAAAGATAAGCATCAGCCACATATTTCTTTTTATTGCCTTATCGACAGGTATATCAACAATTCCTCTGTCGAAGTCCATAAAAGATCTTAACAAGCATGTGCTATTACTATCAGACAGCCTGCGAACACTATCAAAATCAGCATTCGACGACACCTTTTATGGAAACAAAAAATAGTATTATTTTTTTGCGATTGAAGAGCAGATTATTATCACGTATCTAAAGAAGCCTCAAAATCTTATTTGAAAAGTTTAAGGTGGTCATCATCCTAAATAAGTAATTGTTAATTGGAAGGTGTTATAATCTTTGTCAAGGAGTCACGAGGCTGCATTTTTATGGAAAAGGAGTAAAGAGTTCGGCCAATGTTAATATTTTTAAAATTATATATTATTATAAAAATAAAGCACGAACAATTCTAAAATTTTGCTTAAGGATTACCTTCTGGACTTCACAAGAGCTATAATGACTGCCTCTCATTCAGTTCAGATCTTAACAAAGTAGTGAGTATGAACGAGTTTTACAAGTAATGCCACTTTTTTTAATGACCTAGGTTCAGTAGTGGATCGAAAAAAAAATTTACATCGGTAGCTTACCACAGATGTAAAAACTTCCAATGGCGCCAAATCTGCAACTCGTGCAATGCATTCAATACAGTGTTTTAGGAATGTTTGCCACTCAGTTTCACCCTGGAAATAGAAATGATATCTAAGAGCATAAAAAAATACAAACAAAGACTACATGAAATTTTATAACATTTATACAGAATGACAATTTTTACTGTCTCGAAAATAATATGGTATTTTGTGTAAGTGGAATATAAAGTATCCTCGAAAGTATTTGCATAATATAATAAAATATAACTAGATTGGCAAAATTTCCGAATATCCAAAAAAATACATAAAAACAATTCATCTTACGGCGTTTACGTAAAACTAGTGAATGAAAGTTGTAAGAGCGAGCGAGACGCATGCAAATTTTTTTGTTATGTAGGCGTCAGGCTGTCAGGCCGAGTGGGAGCGGCCGACACATCATTGCAGCAAACATTTTTTGAATCAGCTGAATCGCGCCTAAAAGTATTTTTCTCTCATAATTAATTAGGCAATTTTGATATTTATTTTTGATTTTGACTACCTCGTTAGTCTAGTGATTGTAGTAGTGTGACAGCTAATCATGAGGTCCTGGGTTCGAACCACGGGTCGGGACAAAAAGTTATTTTATTGAGTTTTTCCGTCAAGAAATTCTCAGTAGCTGACCGGAGTCGGCAAGTTGGCGGTGTCTCACCTCCGTGTCTCGGAAAGCACGTAGAGACGTTGGTCCTGCCCCTGATCTCTCTCCGGTCGTGTCAGTTTACTGTCACACCGGATTATGAGAGTGAGGGAATAGAAACTGCACCTGTGCTTGCGCATACACTTAAGCACTATAATCTTGTCCTGCGCCGACGGTTATTTTCTGTTGATACGGTTTATACGGGTGCTTAAATAACAACAGGAGTATCGACTTTTCATTCTTTATTGTTCCGAAGTATACCGAAAGGTAAGATTTATAGGTAGATTAAAATAATTAGGTACCTAGTTACAGGCTTCATAGTTACAGATTTATTATTTGACTAACGACCCGACCACAGCTTCAGTTTCCGAATTTTTCGCGTATAATGTCAATGACTACTAAAAACGTTCAGTGTAAGTAGACCACCCAGTACTAGTTACTGCCTAGTAATGCAAGTTAAGGATAATATTATAATGTTTATTAGTAAAATACTTAGTCGATAAGAGATTTAAAATAGCATCATTTCTCATTGCCACTCTTTCATTAATAATGCCGTCGCGTGTCGCATGTTTGTAAATAGCAAAAAATGTAAAACAGAAAATGGTTAGTTTACCTTTCGTTTCAGATTATAATCTTTGTGATTTCGATCCTTCCTTCATACTTTTACGCACTTAGGATCGTCTTATATGCTGTAGTTGAGTAGAATTACATGTTAAATGTTATCTTGCATTATAATGAATTGATATACAGTTTCTAATAATAATTGTTATGCCTACCGTATACTGCAACATCTTGGCGTATTTATACGATCGACGAAATCAACTTCTTACAAACTAGCCTGATTGATATTTACAAAATTATATTACATTATTGTTATATACAAATAAAAATTACCTTTTTGCGATATCACAGTAATTGTTCAAAATGTCTACCGTTTCTTTCTAAACAAGAATTAGCACGTCTTTGTAAATTGTTTGTTAAACTTCGAAGCGTGTCTCTATCACTTTTTTCACATTAAAAGCGTCTATCATACTCTTCTATAATCACACTTTATGCTTCTTCTGTGTAAACTAATCGTTTTAGTTCGGCTGAACATTGCCAAGTACATGTTTACGATAACTATTAGCGGGTGGCTGATACACACGCGGAAATATAAAAGCTAAAGGACATCAAAGAGGCCTACCGCGGGTGCTTCGAGTGTCGGTTGTTTAAAATGTATAGCATCGCATTACAAATTCATTGATATTATCGCTGCTCGTAAAGTAGGATGCGTATGATTAGAATTTCGATAGTTTTTGATTGATATATTTCAGTTTTTGATTGATATATTTTAAAACTTTTGTTATTTTTTTAGTATGGAAAGTTTATTTGAAATTAGTAGAATTTATTGACAGATCAATTTCGTATTATAATTCTTTAAATCTAAATAATTGTAAAATATCAGTGCCATAGGCTTCTACTCCGTTCACCTGTTACACCCAATTTTTTTCCAGATGGTAATAATAGTCTCAAGTAGCTTTTTTTCCTTTATGCATATAAACTTGGAAACGAAAATATTTAACATAATATTCAATGCTATAATTTTAAACTGATGTTAAAATAAACATTTAAAATAGCACTAATATACTAATAACACTACCAAAATGCTTACGTCATCATCACACACGTCATTGTCAAGATGTTGCAACTGCGCCTTATTGTGTTGAAATTGTATTTTGTTCAATACGGCATTTACAAGAGCTTCAAGGGCTTCCCAATATCTAGAAAGTAATACAGTTATTATTTTTAAACTCTTCATATTTTTGATATTTCAAATAAAAGTTTTGCTTTTATAAAGCCTTTTGCAACAAACTGAAGATATAAAAGATATGCAGGAAGTCGATGCTTGCAAGTGGCTTAGGATCGTCTTTTTAAGAATAAGGGTAACAAACGAGCAGAGTCCACCTGATGGTAAGTGGATACTGTGGCCCATAGAATTCTACATCAATCCTCAATTAAGAACCAAGATGCAGGTGCTTTGTCACTCCTGAGGACTCTCCTGAGGGTCTCCGGTTCTCTACACGGTACATTCACCATAGGAAACATAGCAATATGAGCTGCTATTTCACGCTGGTATTCTGAGAGATCGTGCAAAGTGATATTTCTAGGTGGAGGCCTATGTTCAGCAGTGGACTTGTAGAGGGCTGTAATGATGATGATAATGATGAAGATAAAACTACAAGTTTTTTTAGCACTGGGTGACGACAAATGAGCACATAGTTCAGCTGACAGTAATTGGTTGCTGTGGCCCATAGACATCCAATTTATCCTCGATTAAGAATCAAAATTCAAATGCGTTTTCACCCCTTAGGACTAAGATAGAATGCCTCGATTCCAGTAAAAAAGGTCTCCTGTTCTCTACACTCACCATATAAAACACAGCAGCATTATGTTGCTACATTACGCTGGTATTCTATGAGAGCATGGTCCTGCTCCGGTCGAGCTGACCCATCCGTGCTACAACTATAATATAGCTGCAGCGTGGCTCTACCACGTGCTAAAAGTTTCATTAAAAAAATGAAAAATCTACCAAATTAAAGACTACTAAAATTAACAAGGTCAGATTTTGTCATCATGTACATACGCGTAGTTATTTATTAAATGTGATGTCAACTACTGAATTTGCCGTAATCGAGTGCCTGACTGGCAATGCGAGATTAACAAATAATGGGCGGCGGTTGACACTTTCCATCAGGTGAGTCGCTTGCTCGAGTGTCCCCTCTTTTATAAAAAAAATCGATGCTTCGAACCTTCGACGCTACTTCTCATCATCGGTCAAGAAATTTTTCATTTACTTATATAAAATGGTTTAACCCTTCAATTCCCGAAAAATTCCCATGCAGTCGCATGCGCCTGACAAATCCGAGGCGGTTATGGCATTTCTTATAATGACCTATATGTAGCATTAGATTAGAACAATTTAATGAGATGAAAATAACTTACTTAGTAGTGTCCTCAGGCTTCAGAATGTCTATAAATTGTATCCATACATCTAAGCAGTTTACAAAAATTGTACATGTTGGAACCTGAAAATCCAAACGGTATTAGTACCTGGATCACAAATTAAATTTACTAAAGAATAACAATTTATATTTATACCTGGAATGTGTATTGGAATAAGTAAGATAAAAATTCGATTGCATCAAATTCAGGCTCTGTTTCCAGCCTCTTAAAATGCAGAGAGACAAATAATTTCAAAAACTCCGCCAGCTTGTTTAAGTAACTGTAAAAATAAATTCTTCTTTAATAAACAATTAAGTAGCTTTTTTTTTTTTTTTGGAAAATTTATTTTCTTAAACCCACGCAGCGGGTACATTTGGTGTAACACGACATTAACTACCGCCTAGAGACGACGAAGTCGAACTTGCTCTTTCTTAAGAAAGAGCATTCTCTTGTTGCCTCAACTAATATTGAAATCCTCGGTCTCAACTAATAGGAAAGGCCCAATTGGCCTCTAAATAGGCAGTCCTAGATGAGGGGACTGCTTTGACGATTCCGTGGTGCAGTGACCTCGCATTGAAATGCGACGCTGAAGGCCGCGGGTTCGAATCTCAAACAGAGCAAGTATTTGTATGGCCTACAAAAAATTGGTAAAAGGGGTAAAGTTATACTAGGTAAAGTAATTTTTTTTAAATAAATTATTCTGTGACTTCTCCGCGTTTGCGACTTTCCAAAGTACTTCCACTTGACCACAATGAATTTTTCATTCATAATAATTTAGAATAGTCCACTAGCTCTGCGAAGACTTTGCATCCTATTTCATTTTTTATCAGATTTACCGCACGAAGTGTTCAGAGGAATTATTCGGATTAATTTCAACTGCCGAGTGAATGATTCGGAATTGCATCGACAACAGAAAATTTATAATTTAATGGTACAGTATTAATCATAATTGAAAAAATTTGTAGATTTGTTTTTCAATGTTAGACAAAAAATTTAATGGTAAAGCATTTCACGTACTCATGATGTGCATGATAAATGGAGTGTTGCGCGGCGTGCGTTAGATGACGCAACAAACGAAGCGAGCAATGGTGTAGTCGTAACGCTGTCGTTGCAGATGATGGAGGTGCATATCGACGGTAGAGCAACTCGCAGACGCCACCCAGACCAGCCAATGCAGCTTCGGTACTCTAAATATAATGGAAATTAAGGGAAATAAATTTTCTTATTTTATGCATTCATAATAAAAAAAAACTTATTCAAAGACACTTTTAAATTCACCATGGGGTTGGAAATCACCTCTGTCGGTGCACAGTATTTCTTTTTTAAAGAAATATGTTACACACACATAATATATATGTAGTAATATTTACATTAACAATGCAAAAAATTAAGCAAAAACTTGGTTAGCCATAATATTACATTGCTCTATGCATGAATTTTTGATTTTGTGTAGTCAAGAAACTTTCTTCTCACAATTTATAATTATATCGATAAAATAATTACACCATTTTTTACAGTGTAAATATGAAATATATTAAAAAACTCGACCAACTTTCTGGTCCACATTTAGGTCTTTTTTTGCTAACATATTGTGAATGTGAGTCATATTGATCCATAAATACAGAATTTGTTAATAACGTGCACCACCTACCGTTCCTTTGAACTAGCGTCTCGGCAAAACGGATGCACTGTGTGAATATTCAGAAGTTACACGTCTATTAACACACGCGCCGTAAATATTAATTTTTTTAGTTTTTGTGCTTCACTGCTTGAGATTCTTTTAGTAATTTAAAAAATATACCTATAATAAGAAAGTTTTTATAAGTTTACCTGTGTTTGTGTTGCTATACTGCCCCAATAAAACACTGTTGTTACCAATGACGGTGGTACATGTGATGATAAAGGTAGCCATGAGAACAAATGTTGTAGAGTAGTTAAACACTTAACTACGATCTCCATGTTAAGAGCCCTGTAGAAAAAATGATTATAATAAATATATACATATTATGACACTAAAAAGTCCAATTAATAGTTTTAATAACTTACTTATCAGATGCATGTACATCATGAGCATTTGCTAATAAATCTGGGAGAGCAGATGTGTGCGGAAATCCACTGGTAGGTGAGGGTGGTGGATTTGACTGTCCTTCCTTCTGTGCATTCTTTTCCAGTAATTCTAAGCCAAAAACGTTATAAAAAGAATCAGATCATATACTATAATTGATTTCCGTTAAATTGGGATTCCGCTAAATTGTTTTCCGTTTTGTACAAAATACGTATTTGTTATGACAAAATGACTAATACTTAAGCAATAAATTACATATCGTATTTTAATAAACCTAATTTAAACTGTTAAGGTAAACTTTATCCTATATTTGCATCGAAAAATATATTTTTTAATTATTCTTGCTCTAAGGCAGTAATTCCCAATTCATTTTTGCTGTATATCACTTAGCAATAGAGCTGAAACTCGTGCAGCCCTATTAACCGAAATGACAAATAAGATAATGTAAAATCATATTTTTGTCTTCACAAAAATTTAAATAAATATAAAAAGCACATTGGTTGTTTAAGTTCCATTCATCTATACATTACAGCCTATTAAAGTCCACTTCTGAACATAGGCCTCCTTCATAGCCTGATAGACTTTATTAGAAGTTTTTATTGTTTTGAGTTATCAGATTTTTTTTCGAATTTTGACCAAAAGAGATTCATGTCGGACTGGATTTAGGAGAAAGTGAGAGATACAAGTGTCGTGGCTTTTTTGCTTAAAATTTATTGTTTTGTTAAGTGCTGTTGATTTACTATAGTAAATTTTTTGTCTTGGTGGAGGTTTTAACATCTGTAAATTAGTAAGTGTTTGTAGTTGTGCCGTTTTTATGTAATTTTTTGTTGTAGAAATATAATGGAGGACGAACCTCCCGATCCCGGAAGGGTTCGCAATGATTCCTTTTCCTTACCCATTAATATTGATAATGTAGAACTAATTAACCGTAAACGTGCCCAAGTAAGTAACGAGTCTGCCCATCCACAAAAAATAGTTATTACTGATCCAAATCAACAGTTTCCTTCAATACAATCCTCATATACCCATCCTGATTTTATTAATAAAAAAGTTAAGTACTCTCAAGATGATGCCGCTCCTTTTCTAGTTCACGTCAGTAAAATCTCAAATGATCAGCAGTCTCGAGTAACTCTTAAACCAATTAAATTCGGACACTTTCTGTATCATAACAATATTAAAAATAAAGTCCGTGATGGAGTCAAAAAAGTTAGACGAAATAGAATATCAGTGGAGTTTAAAACAGCAGCGGATGCAAACACCTTTATCGATCACCCAGCTCTCCAAATTTATAAATATGAAGCAACCTTCCCCTCATATATACGTGTGCTAGTTAGACAAGTTCCCATAGAGTGTCCACTAGAAGAACTAATAGCAGCTATAGAAATTCCCTCTGGCTACGGTTCTATAATTAAAGCACGGCGACTTAATAGACGAACAGTGAGTGACAGCAATAGCGTTTCATGGGTTCCAACTCAGACAGTCGTTCAAACTTTTTCGGGACAAAAACTTCCTCCCCATATTTACTGCTTTTACACCTCTATGCCAGTGGAAAAATATGTTTTGCCACCAATTCATTGTCATAAATGTTGTAAATTTGGCCATGTTACTTCTCAGTGCCGATCATCCCCTCGCTGCTTTGTATGTGCACAGAATCATGAAGCTTTATCTGATATCGACAAACTCCTACTTGTCTATTCTGCTCAGGTCCCCACACCGCAAAAGACCCTACTTGTCCTGAACATCTAACAAAAATCTATTAAACTTTTATGTCAAAGAAAATTTAAGCTAGATTCCCTCAGAAAAAAGATCCTTGCTGATAACAGAATCCAGCTTAATGTTTTCTTTAACCCTCGCTAGTCACAAACTACTCTATAAAAAAACAATTTTTATCCCTCAACATAACTACAGCAATCATTAATCTGGATATGATGGCAGCCCATCAGGCAATTATTGAGAATCCTAATTCTTCCCTTCCTAATGGGTGTGCTCTACTGGGGAATGACAACAACTCCTCTAATAATGATAATTTCTGCGAACTTATGATATGATGCTAATTAACATGATCTCCCGTTTTAGTGACACAGAACTTCCTCTCAGCTTGCGCCAAAAACTTACTACGCTTACTTCATTAACTAGCAACATTCATAATTCTACAATGGAATTGTAGGAGTAAAATGAGAAAAAGAAAAAAAAAAGAAAAAAGAACTTATGTTCTTAACTACCAAATTTAGTCCACTTGTTCTTGCCTTCCAGGAGATGTGGCTTAGACCTGTCTCCCAATTTAGGGTCTCAGGCTATTCACGCCTTCGGGATGGTAGGAGCGATGCACATGCTAGTTCCTCCATTTTGATTTCAAGAAAAATTACATACTCTTCTATACCTCTAAAAGCAGACTGGCGTCATTACTCATCATTACTTTTTGAGCTATTAATTTCTATGCTTATTGGTATATTATTCCGTTTTAGTGATACTGAACTTCCATGTAATATTTACATCAGAAACTTACTAAGCCTTCCTCCTTAGCCCGTAACATTCGCACATATTCATATTGCTTTTTCAAGACATGAATTTCTCATAGGAGTTTTCTTGGATATTTCTTCTGCATATCATAATGTGCTTCTTCCTGTGCTCAGACAGAAAATGCTTAATCTGAGCATTCCAGTGAGGATAGTCAATTACGTCTCTAAATTTCTCCAAAAACTATATGGAAAGGACTTCCACAAGGCTTAGTTCTTAGTCCTCTCCTTTATTCTATATAATATGTATACTCAAGATTTGGAACTTTCAGTATATTCTTTTTGTAATGTTCTTCAATATGCAGATGATTTAGCTCTATACATTTCCTTAAACAACTTCACAGTGGCACGTTCCCGTCTACTCATCCATGGATTATTTACAAGAATGGTTAACTAATCATGGCCTCTCTTTATCTGTGGCCAAGAGTAGTGTGGTAATCTTTTCCTGCCAAAGGCGAGGTCCCGATATATCTGTTGTTTATTATAAGCAACCTATTCCAGTTAGAGGCAATGTTAAATTTTTGGGAGTTATCCTCGATTCGAAATTGGCCTTCGGTCATTACATTGAATATATAACACAAAAATGCGAAAAAAACATAAATACTCTTCAGTCTTTGTCTGGTGTTTGGTGGGGGTCCCATCCTTTTTCTCAGAAATTACTGTACAATGCTTTAATACGAAGCCACCTTGACTATGGATGTTTTCTCTTGGAGCCTTGCAATAAATCATCCCTGAAAGTAATGGACAAAATTCAATCGAAATGCCTTCGCATTATTACAGGGGCAATGAAATCCTCACCAATAAATGTTCTTCAGGTTGAGTGCGTAGATCCTCCTTTAAGATTAAGAAGGAAGAAGAATACCTTTCAGACAGATTCTTATTTAGGATCTGCCAACTTTCAGATCATCCCCTAATTCCTAAATTGCATCTTCTTTCAGAGTATATCTCATCTGACCAATACTGGACCCATAAGGACTCTCCCTGCTTGTTTAAAAGTTTTGTAACTTTTCTTCAGTTTCCTTAGCCAATCTTTCAATGTAAAATAAATCCACTCTTTGATGTCCCTTACTAGGCTATTGTTAACCAACCTGACATTCATCTAGATCTAGGTATAGAAAAGGATTCTCCAATGGCAAATTTGAAATTAAAAGAAATTATAGAAAACACCTTTAAAGATTGGCTTGTCATGTACACAGACACTTCCAAACAGTCTGATGAAGACTATACTGGAGCTGCTGTTCGGATTCCTAAGTTCAAATTCATTCTTAACTTTAAATGCCCTCACTATCGTCCACTTTTACCGGTGAAGCAACTGCAATCAGTGAAGCTTTGTTATATGTCGAGTCACATAATCTTAATAAAACAGTTATTTTCACAGATTCAAAAAGTTGCTTGTTAGCTATTTTGTCCAATCAATTCCATAACAAACATAAATTTCCATTAATTCTTAAAATAAAAAATACCCTATTCAGATGCCATCTTAAAGGAATCCATGTTTCAGTGGCCTGGATCCCAGGCCACAGTGGTATCCATGGTAACGAAACAGCTGATGTACTCGCTAAAAATGCAATTGCTAATGGCATTCTACAAAATTTACTTTACTCGCATGACCTAATCTTGCTAGCTAAAAGGAAACTAAATGAAAATTGGAATAAATTGTGGGAAGTTTCCAAAAATGTTAAAGGTAAGCACTATTCTGCCATCCAAGAGATTATTCCTCCCAAGCCTTGGTTCTTTAAATTTAACAAAGCAAATAAACATGCAACTTCAATCATTTGTAGATTAAGAATTGGACATGCTTGTACACATGTACATCTGGCAAAAATCAGAGTAAGGGATAGCTCATTGTGTGAATGTGGCTTAGATGAAGGTTCCACAAACCATATTTTTTTCAACTGTCCCAAATTATCCTCCTCCCTTTATGATTACTTTCCTCATTATATTCCTCGACCTATAGATTTTAATTCTCTTTTAACATATACCAGTACTCCTTTTGTGTATATTTTATGTGATTTTATTAACACTAATAATATGAAACTTTAAATCCTTATTTGTCACTTTTAACATACTGATAAGAGTCTAACACCTGTGTTTGTCATATTTGTTCTAGGTAATTCAACAAATAGATTTGTCAAAATTCTTGGAGGAAAACTGAATCCTTGTATTATCACAGACTCTTATTTTAATTAAACTCATACGCTTTCATTTTCCACTCAATACGTCATTGGCGAATTTTATCAAACTGCCACAAAAGAAAGAAGAAGAAGAAGAGTTGTTTTCAGGAAGATATTGCTGCCCATCTCCTATTTCACTTTTCCACTGTCGTCTCTTAAGACACCCTCGGCATGATATGGTATTCATACACCGCCACTACAAGTTCAATGGTACAAAAATGAGCATGGTTTACAAGTAGAATTCAGCGATTGTAATTTTTGCAAGTAAACTTATGTTGCCGTGGGAGTACTATTTGGGAAACTCCAAAAAGTAAAGTAAAATTAGAAAATGTTTTCAAATTAATCTAAAAATGATTGAAAGAACTACATTGAATTTAAAAAAAAAACATTTACCACTGAGAGCAGATAGCATTTGAGGCATTCCTTTCAACATGAGTCGTTCAAGTTGCATACGTCGAGCTGAAGGTAATAAAACACCTGTGTCACGGGCTGCTCCTAATTCTTCACTTGCCATCTGTGCTAAGATTAAGCCTAACACGCATCGGCGGCCATCGCTTTTAATAAGCTAAAATGATTAATATAGATTATATTATTTTTGATTATTTTTTATATAAATATTTTGATTATTCATAATAGTATTTTCTTCTGCAATGTTAAGGGGATTAACATAAATGAATTGCATATGGACAAACAAGACCTGTAACAATTATTATTTGTAGCCCACACAAACATTTTTTCTGTGAGAGATTCGAACTCGCGGCTGGTAACGCTTGCGGCTAAATGCTTAGCCACTGCACTCCCTTTTAAACATCTTTGCCTCTAAAATGTCTTTATTTACGGTTTTGATAGCACAAAAGCTAGGCGCTCGCCGTAAGGCCCGGTTTATATTTTGAGAAGTGACAAGTGCGAGTCACAACTGACAAGTGAGAAGTGACAAGTGCGTATTTTATTCCCACTTGTCACTGCCTGTTCACACGCACTAAGCAATTGTTATTTGTCAGTTGCACTTGCCACTCGCACTTGTCATTTCTCAGAATGTAAACCGGGCCTAACGTAGTAGGCAAGCAACCCATGTTTGATCTCCCCCGGCAACAATGAAATTGTTAATTACAATTTTAAGTGCTTATTTAGGACGTGCTCAGTGGCGATGACGCTATAATTGTAATAGTATCTATCAAGCACAGCCAATTGACCACCGGTTGAAGCAATAAATGTAAAAATAAATATACTTTTTTGGATTAAAATTAAATTGTTTGAATTTCAATTATTATCAATTATTTTTACCAGATTTAAGGACACCTTTAAATAACGAAATCTAAATGCCTGCTACAAAATTCTGTATATTCATCGTGTGGACACCTAAATAATTGGCATATTCCGGCATTGTGTTATTTTGCTGTCTCGAAAATGGAAGAATTACATTTTAAATGTACTAGTTTACTTTCCAAATTAATATATCTCTATTAACCAAGTACTAACAAAAACAGAATATCAACTTTGATTTTTTATCACATTGAATAAAAACTTATTGATTTATATTTTAATACCTGAGCAATTGACCTTTGTTTGGCTTTAGAAATTTTTCTCAGGGATGGATGACTATAAAAGTGAAGATACCTAAGTATCTTGATTTCTTCACATAAAAATACTGCCCTACAAACTGTTCCATATTGATACGTCAATGAATATTGTGTTGAATAACTGTCAACTAAAAGAAAGGGTATAAGCACTTGCTTTTTAAAATTCTAGATATTTTGAACTGATTCCAAAAATTTACAAAAAAGTGTGGTTCAGGTAAGAATTTTCATAAAAATGGCTAAATGATGAAACCCTTGAGCCCCCGGTACTTGATTTTTTAATTTTGTTTTTAATTTAGGAGGATTGTCAGTGTTAAGCTTGCACCTTTTACACTGTTTTTGGATTTCGGAAATGCCTTTCGAATTACTTATGATAAGAATAAATTTCACAAAAAATTACATAGAGTGAAACGCAAATATATCAATTTGGTTTTTTTAAATCCATTTGTGGCTGAAAATGGGACTATTATACAACAAATTGAGTCATAGTGGAGAGCAGACAACAGATTTGTCCAAAAACAAAATTATAATAATTCACATTGCATTGTTTCATTTACCACTGTCATAGCAGAGTTTAGGGCAACCTGACTTTATAGGATTGGTTGAATCTGTTCTGAAACTGAATCAGCATGCCCCAACTTCACATTGTCTTGTATGGTTGCAGTTAGGGCTTCTCCTAAATCCTCCCACGCCTGTATGCATGTACCGTGTGTCAATAGTTTTACCAAACTCTTTTTAATAACACTTTAAATAATATGTATATATACAAAATAAAATAAAAAAGCAAATTTTTTTTAATTTGGACCATCAACATAACATAATGAACTTGCATCATCACATTTATAACATAAACAAAATTGTTCTACCAGTCCCAGGTTTATTATTAAGCATACTTACTTTGAATATTTTGTTCTCATGTAAGTGACTTCTCATTATGAGAAATAAAGTTCTTTAAACTGTAATTAACCTATTAAAAATCAATGTGTTAATTATTACCCTAAACTTTTTATAACTTTCATTTAATATATAATAGGTAATAATTAAAAACTTTTTATAGAAAAAAAGGAAACCATAAATTTACAAATTTCAGAGTTTTAAATTTATATGTAATTTTAAAAAACACAATGGAAAATCTTTAATATAATTAATTACCTCAACAATATTACTGAAAAAATCAGGATATAAATGTGGCCAGTCATAACGGGCAATTGCTACCATTAATGCAGCAAGTTTATTCCTGATGAAATATAACATGACTTCATGTTTTGCCATTAATTCATTCCATAGAGTGAGCCGTATTTCTGTCTTCTCATTGTCAGATAAACTGATCCATTGTTTATTAATAATGTTCTGGAATAAATTTAATGTGATTATTTCATGATACATACAAATACAGCTCCCGTAAAAGTTTATTCAAGTTGAGGGTATGGTCATAATTTCAGCTAGCTAAATTAATGGCAAATTGGTTAACTCTCTGACATAACAGTTTTACAAGCACTGAATAATAATATAATAGACAATAAAGTCAGTGGATCTAAAGTTAATTGCAATAATTTGGTTAATCAATCATACAAACTAAAATAAAAGTAAAATTGGTAAACACTTTCATATAAGTTTGTATGAATGTAACTAGACATATAAATGCAAAGCTAAGTAACCACTGCTCTGCTTGTACTTTTTGGTGCAGCCGGTCCCAAGTCCAGATAAAATAGGAGAGGTGGTTCCGCCGGAGAGAGTGAGTGTATTCACACACCATTGGGTGTGTTAGTCCACAGGATGTGGTGGACTAACACACCCACCTGCGCTAGGACCTACCCAGTTGAGCGCCATATGCGGGAATGAAGGAGTCATGGAGGCTTGACCCGATTAACACTGGGGTATAGTGTTGAGAGTCAACAAGCTCTCTTTGATCAGGATTTCAAGCTAAACGGTAGACTTATCTGCTAGCCACAGATAGAGAAATGGCCAAGCGTCCCATCAGAGGGTTGCAGGCGAGGGATATGTACCATCCAGCATAGATGGCCCTCTAAGGGGGCAATTTCATGGAGTTTAGAGTTGCGGGAAAACACCCCATTGTAAGCTAGACTAGTATCTTAATAATCCCATAAATGTGTGTATATAAAGCCTATACTTCCACACTTTAATTCTAGTGCTAGATGACACCCTTTTCCCTTCCTCTTCCCCTAAACATTAATGCCAAAAAACATACTTTTTAAAACATTAATACTAAATGTGACTTAAATCAATTTATGACATAAAAGATTTTGTCATTTTACATTTGAAATTGTGTTTAGTTGCATTTTATTACATAAACAAAACTTCTGATTTTACAAAAAAAGTATTACTCAATCACTTTGGATTTCCACATTTTTATATCTTGGTATTTGATACATCTTTACTCACCCCTTCAAACCTACAAATATGAACCTATAATCCAGAGTGGATTTTACTGAAGCTAAACCCTTTTTCATTGTGATATTATGTCGAAACATCTCTACATGTGGTTTGCCTATCCCCTAAGATGACTTGACCTGAATAATGAATAGTGACATACCTCCAAAGTAGTCAAAATGAACATTAAAACATATTGGTTCTGAGATTTCTGTAGAAATACTAAACAGTGCTTCCATGAACCTCTTCCATTAGAAAAATTTTCGAGAATACTCTCTATTTCTCTCTTTCTGAAGTTATTTGTAGAAGGTGCAAAGAATTCAGACATCAACATTTCTAACGAAGCAAGTGCCTCATTTAGATCAAAGTCACCCTGTAAATTTATAATTATTAAAAACAATGTAAGAAAATCCAACTATATTGATCTAAAACTTCTATAAGAATAAATGTAATAAAAGAAAACAAAACGTTTACACTTATAATTTCGTACCATTTTTATGAGACTTCTATGAAACATAAAATTACATCATTATGTAAGAAAAATAATTATTATTTGCAACATTTAACATAACTTAATAATAATAATATTTAGGCTTCAGCTTTAATTTAAAACGTAAATGTGTTACTATGTTACTGAAATCTAACCCGAAACCCGATCCAACCGAATAAACTGACAGGTGACAACTGATATGTCAAATCTCATTTTTTAACAGGTTTTACGGTTCTGGGTTCTAGTCTTTCTGAGCCTGTCATTTTTTATTTAACCGGCTTTACGGCTCTTGGTACTAGCCCTTCTGAGCCTATCATTTCTTTCAGAATCTTCATTTTATATATTTTTTCTTCACAATATGCTGATGCGACACATTGCGAAGTTTTTTGAGGACTATTGACGACAGCTCAACCCAGAGGACTGTTGATGACAACAGTCACTCAAGTTCATAAGGCGCCCAAGCGATCAAATTAACTTGAGGTTTGTATCAACATCAAAGCACTTGTTTCGTCGTTTTCTCTAATCGTTCACACACGCAAACACTTAATTCACAAAATCACATCACTTCTACGAATTATAATCCACTACAAATCATTTTTCAAGCCACAAAACAGGAGCGACAGTCCGTCGTCGGCCAAGTTTCCGCCAAAACCTGAACCTGTCAATTATAGTATCGTTCTCTTGTTCTCTAACCTCCATGGTAGGGCCTATCACTCAGACCATGGACTATAAAGGTAAGAAGAACAATCTCCCATAGTATAATAGTTGAAAACGTAGACAAAGAAACCTATAGACTAATGATTAGCGTGGCCTTGAGTGAGAAAGGACGATAACGTAGTTTTAGGTTATACAATAATCTTTATGACTTTTAAACATATTTAGATAAAAAAAAATTTAATTGTTCTAAGAACTGAACTGAAGAAGATTCACCAATCTTAAGCTCACAAAACACTTTTTTCTCACTTAAACCAACTTGTAAACTCCTTAGATCGCTACGAGCTGTCAAAGTTGTTAAGCAAACTGTAGTTTGCTAAACAAATAAACCGGCACGGAGAAAGGGACAAACAATCACACCGCTCTGTCTCATTTCTACGCAAGACGTAAATAACAGTTCAAAAAGTACAGGGTATAATAAATCGCCATAAAATACGTTGAGAGTAGTTTTGAAAATAAAAATTTTGAAAGCAATAAAATAATTATTGTAAAAAGAACAATGGTGAAAGTCGGTGCAACAAAAAAAAACTATAAAATTTAGACTGTAGCTACAGTGGCGCCACCCTTATTTAGCGCTTTCCTACGGACACTTTTTATACGGTTGTACTGCTTACCTCTACACTCCATAAATCCGACCCCGACAGTGTATTGGACATAGATTTAGATTTACTAAATCTAGATTAATATAATATAAATAGACGATAAAAGATAGCTTGATCTCTGCGACATATGTCAAACTGACATTCCTAGGGTTGTCAGGATATAAAAAATTGTCGATAGAAATTATCGATGTTTCTTATTATTATCGATGCTAATGTAACATATAATAATTGGATTTAATTTAATTAAAAACGTTACTAAATTAAACGAATATTTTAATATAAAATGCATTTATTCTCTTAAAGGAGTACACCCCAAATCCATATCTGAATCAGTTTCTGGATCGCCAGAACAATCTTGTAAATTTATTATAAACTCTTGTTCGCAAATATTATCAAATTGGACGTCCCACTCCCAATCTTCCTCCATTACTTTTCTGCATTCGGTTACCACCTTCTTCCAGTCTTCTGCAGATACATTGTCGACCGCACGTTTTTAAAAACTGCTACATTTTATTTGCCGTGAAAGGCGGTGTTGTGTTGTATCTGGCAGCGTAACCTTAAAAGAAAACATATTTTTTATAAGATTAATTAAACAGTAGTTAATAATTAAAGTACTTATCTAACTGAAATTCAAGCAAACAAACCTTTGACTTGGGCCCAGATAAGCTTGATCGAAATATACAGATAGGGGTAGTCTTATCCTTTTCGTGGGCTATATCATCTAAGACATACGTTGGAGTACTAGGTATGTGCAGACCAACGAGTCTTAATAATTCATTTTTAAGCAGAGTTTCATTAGCCTCTATTCCTTTTTCTTGAAGCCATGCAATGATTTCAAATTTTTTTTTTTCCCGAAGTTGGTGGTTTGTGCTTTTGAACCGAGTGATATGGGGCGTTACCCATAATAATGCAATGTGGCTCCTTTAAATTATCTAATAATTTTAAAAACCACTCCCTAAATTTTTCAAAATTCATTTCCTTGTGGTATTCAGTAGTTTTAGTTGATTTGAATGCCAATAGGCAATTAGGCACAAAACCAGATGACGTCCCAGCATGAGTGATGATTAATCTTTGACCTTTGCCTTCGGGGACTTTGGTGGTTGATTGTGCAGTATCATCGGTCCAAGCTTTGGATAAGGTATGATTGGCGTTTAGCCATGTCTCGTCTAGAAACACTACTTTGTCTCAATTTCTGATTTTTTTGACTTTTCGGAGAAAATTCACTCGAGCAAGAGCAATGTCGGTTCTTTCCATAATAATTTTTCTTTTATCCCTTTTTTATAGGAAAAACCAATATTTTTCAATATCTTCGTTAGAGATGGCAAGCTTCCTTTGAACAAGTCTGCGTCTTTAAGGGACGTGGCAAGTTATTTCAATGTAGGCAATTCGACCCGTGTATAGTAATCATATACATGGTTGCGAATCGCAGCGGCGTCAAAGTTATCAATGTTTGTGACAGGAGCAGCTTTTTTTCTTTTTTTATTTGGTGTTGCAAGTTTTTTGTCCTCGTCTTCATTCAATGCTGCGGTTGAAGATTCGCCATACTTTTCTTTGCTGATGCGAATTACTGTCGCATGTCCAATGCCAAGAGCATCTGCAACTCTATCACATACGTTCTCCATGGGTAATAGCGGCCCGCCATTTTGGTTCTCTCGCTCAAAATATTCACGTAAACGAATCACAAACTCACGACTTTTTACTATTCAAAACGGTTTTCTTCGTTCTCTTTGGCATTATGCCAACAAGAAACTAACAATAATAACAAAATATAACAAAACTCAACAAATTAACAAACAATAACAGCAATAGTAACAAAAACAAAGTAATGAGAACGGAAAACACGTAGTGTATACAAGGCGTCGGCACTCGTACTGAAGAGAATGGAGGTTCATATCAAACAAGATGGCGGCACTAATTAGGTGGCATCTTTGACTAGAGAAAAAAGAAAGGACATGACATAAAGATCGTTAGTTGTAGGAATGTAACGAAATATCGGCGTCTCTTTTTGGCTTACGAGTATATTCTTATGTAAAAAAGTACAACAGTAGTTTTATCATTACCGAATATGGCAACAATTTTTTCGCTGCGGCCGTGCGCCATATTTTGTCACAGTCAATGACAACCATATCAGTTGTCATTACGACTTTATTGAGGTGAGTGTATTATTTTCATTTGTTTCTCTCGTGGAATTCGATTATTACGGAATTTCTTATTCTATTCCTCGGGACCTCTAAATCGGGATAAAAAGTATCCTATATGTTAATTCAGGTAATGAACTGTTTGTGTGTCAAATTATTACATTCAAACTGGTTTGATACTTTTGGCGTGATTGAGGAACAAACATTCAAACTTTTGCAATTATTATAGTTTGATTAGTGTGAGTATGATGACTGAGCCTAAATTATTGTCTAATAAACAAAGAAAAATTCTTTAATTAGTATTTCTTGTTAAGTAATTCCCGGGAAATAATGGTAACATTAATTATAGACACACATTATAAAAACAAAGCAAAAACGACTGCTTAAAAGTAATGAACTGAAAACATAGGTATAAATTATAATATATTTAATCATCTCCTTTTAATTTCAAGTAAAAAAATTATGGACTTACAATTTGGAGCCAAAAATCCGTCATAATGATTTTAAGAAAACCTATCTAAGAACACACGTGTGTTTGAGACGAATCATACGAAAGAATTTTTTTCTAAATAAGCGCCACATTATCGATATTAAGTATAGTGCGCAGCACTACGTCAAGCCGCCATCTTTGTGCCAGATTCAGTTTAGGTATACACGTTTTTTTCGTATAAGGTAGGTATGTCATGTCCTTTCTTTTTTCTCTAGTCAAAGGTTGGCATGCCCATAAAGTATGACATTGACAGGTACTGTCTGTACACTTACCTCTATATATACAAGTACGCTGGACTGGCTATACCATACAAAATGACTGTGCCAAGGATGTCTTAAAAAATAAAATTGACATAATATGCCAAAGTCTGCTGTCTTATTTATTTTGTCATATTTAAAAAGTCTGTATTTTAACTTTTAAACTAAAAAACGAAAGTATTTTATATTGTTTGATTGTGTATAATATTAGTTACATATTAAGAATTATTTTTAATAATAATGAGAGTGAGCGTAATCTGTAAAACTCGTTACCAAAAGGGAAGCCATATAACATTACACAAGTAAGTGAATTTGCAGCTAATATTTAACAAACTAAAACTATTTGATAATATAAGTACTTAAAATTTTGTTACTAATCTTAATATCATACATATATACCAACATGTTTGGCTGTATATTACTGAGTTTTGATAAACAATAACATTCAATAGGGTTGTCGAGTTCCTTGTCTATAATACTTATCGATGTTCATTCCTACCCATATCTGTTAACAAGCAAAGTCGCCAACAACAGATGATTATCAAATGTTTATTAATTAACAGGTTTCCAACAGAACCTAGACTAAAATTATGGCTTAAAAGCATATATATTGTGAATTGGCGTCCGAAACAAAATGATCATATTTGTTCCAAACATTTCACAGACGACTGTTTTATTAAACATGAGAACTGCACTACTTTGAAAAAGTGCCGTATACCGACAATATTTTCTGGTAGTATCAGTACCAGTAAGTATAAAAGTATTAGATTATTATTTGGAATGTTTTTTTATTTCTTCTTTC